GGACTTGGTTTAGTGGTGGTTTTGGCAGTGTTAGGTTGATGGTTGGACTTGGTCATCTTAAAGGTCCTTCCAACCTAGACTATTCTATGATTCTATGATTTCAATTAGGACTGGAAGTCCACGGTGACCTCCACTTAAGTTTACTAGCTAAATTTCTGTGGCTGTTCTGATAATAAACCATGGATTCCTGTTCAGTTGAGCACGGCAATGTTGGAAACAGCAGTTTGGGGTATCGTTCTGTCATGTTTGGGCTGGACTGGCCACTGAGGCAAGCAACAGATGCTTTCCCCCACCTGTTGAGGGGGTGGCTGGGGATGGCTTTAAATTACCCACAAATTACTGTCTGGTAACAAAGTTATTGAGATACTATGTAAAAACTTTATGTTACTTAAATAGAGTAAACCGAGACAAGATATAGTGAATGCCCAAGACCAGAAATGAGAAAATAGGTTTTTTTATGAATTTATATTGCATACTTTGTATTTCAGAAGAAATTTCAGTAACTTGCATGTTTACTACATAACAATAAGGTGAGGAGGAAGCATCTATGACTGCATTGTTTCTCTTTGAAACTGAAAAATATTGTGAAAGAATTACACCCTTAGAAGCATAATTGTTCCCTGAGCATGACATTGTGCTCAAAACATTGAGTGACAAACTTGAGCATGAAGTGCCACACTAATTAGTCTTTACCTTCACTATAGAGGAAAACTTGCTTTCAAGAGAATACAAAATGTTTGTTTGAAAGTTTCACTTCAGTGTTGAATCTTACGTATCTCACAAAAAAATATGTACATTTCTGCATTTAATTTTTCCTTTAGCTGCACCAATTACAAAACTGTCAACATTTTAACTTGATATTCAATAAGTTGGATAAATAGATGTCATTGCTCCTAATGATGGCTCTAGCTTTAGGCAGTTGCATTTCAAAGATTACTCAGCTTCATAGCTAACATCATTGATATTTTACTGCAATGCAGTGTGGCCTTTACAATAATATTTTCCTTCATTGCCCGTTAGCAAGGCTTGAAGATAGTTCACCACGCAGATAAGACACTAGCCAGCTTCTGCAAATGGCAGAAGAGTGTCAATCCTAAGAGTGACATCAACCCTACACACCACGACGTGGCCGTTCTTCTAACCAGGTATGACAGCAGTTCAGTGGCTGTGACTGACTATTGTTTAGTTTTGGTTTTTTCGTGATAATTTTTTTTTATAGCCTCATGCCATCATTTAGTTCATCCTGCATAGAACCCAGTAAAGTGGTATGATGAAGACATGCTGTTTCTGAAACATGCTGTTTCTGAAACACAGTGTTAATGCAAAAATAACCTAGCATGAGCATGTCTGACACATTCAGGCAGACAACATGAGCTATATTATAAAAACATATGGTTAAAGTTATACCAGCTGTACCTTTTAAAGGGATTGTTTTTCGTTTGTTTTTGAAGTATATATAGTACTTTCTGTGTGCATGTTGGTGTTTTAGTAGAGATGCATCTTAGTCAGGAAATTAAGATCTGTGTTTCCCAAGAGACTAGCAATTTGCACAACTCAGGTCATTTTCCCAACTTGATCCTACCTCAATTCGTGCTCAGTCACTGCTCTGTTCTTCTTTGAGGCAATATAGCAAAATAACATAGCATGTAGGTGAAGTACTCCATAATGACAAATCCTGAAGTAATATACAGGTGCAGCACAGAATGGAAGAGTATTTTGCAAACACAGTCCCATTTATTTTTAAGCTTTAAACTGTATGATTTGTAAGTATTTTTTTCGGTATTCAAGGAGACACAAAATAATTTTTTATGTGTGAGCAAGGGAGGCACAGAAAATTTAATGGTGATGTCTGAGGTTACACAGGGAATTTGTGGCAGGGCATGAAACAGAACTTCTGCAGGTCCATAAAAATGGATCCAATCTGCATGCAACTGAGAGAAGATTGGGTCTAAGGTCTGCAAAAAAAGTGTCCAAGTTAAAGTCTGCCAGGCAAAAAATAACAACACCCCCCCCCAAGTAGTATAGTAAAGAAGACAGTCAACAAATCTTAAAATGAGAAAAACAAGTCTCACAGTGATGTGTGGTTTACCTCTCCAAATAAACAAACTTCATGTAGTTCACTTGAATGAAGCTGAGTTATGGTGCGTTTAATAAACCATATCTAGAAATGCTGTGAGAGGTGGAGGTTTTAAAACTTTTTCTTATGCGAGTTGACAATAAACATACATATTTAGGCACTAAAGCAACAGAAATAATGGCTACAAATTATAGCAGTGTGATATGATAGTAGCAGAATAATTGCATGTTGTTGTTGCATATATGTATGTAAAAATGTTAACACTATGCTTTGCTTAAAATGCAAATTCGCACTGATGCATTGTATAGTGGAGACTTACCATCCAAGGTAAGTGACGCTCCGCAGTTGGTTTTAAGCTCTTTTCATGGCACATCTCTTTTGTGATTCTAGAAAGGACATTTGTGCTGGCATGAATCGTCCGTGTGAGACCTTAGGTTTGTCTCATCTGTCAGGCATGTGTCAACCTCACAGAAGCTGTAACATCAATGAAGATTCTGGCCTTCCGTTGGCTTTTACTATTGCTCATGAACTTGGACACAGGTAAAATTAAAAGTGAAGGGGCAACCTAGCTGAGTTTAGTTTATTATATCTATGTTAATACCCAAATTGGCAGACAGAAGCAAAACACAGAGTGAGTTAATGTCTCTATTATTAAAATCAAAACTGTGGTGTTTTTTTTCTAAGCAAAGGATAAGAAAGAGATTCTTAAGCCTTTGACCTTTTCTTGTGGTTTAACCCCAGCTGGCAACTAAGCAGCATACAGCCACTCCCCCCTGATGGGATGGAGGAGAGAATTGGAAGAGTAAAATTGAGAAAACTCATGGGTCGAGATAAAGACAGTATAATAAGTAAAGCAAAAGCCATGTGTGCAAGCAAAGCAAAACAAAACAAGGAATTCATTCACCACTTCCCAGTGGCAGGCAGGTGTTCAGCCATCCCCAGGAAAGCAGGGCTCCATCACCCACTTACTTGGGAAGACAAATGCCATTTCTCCAACCGTCCCCCCTTCCTTCTTCTTCTCCCAGCTTTTGTTGCTGAGCATGACGTCATATGGTATGGAACATCTTTGGTCACCTGGGGTCAGCTGTCCTGGCTGTGTCCCCTCCCAGCTTCTTGGGTGCCCCTCACCTTCTTGTTGGCAGACCAGTAACAGAAGCTGAAAAGTCTTTCACTGCTTTAGTAACAACTAAAATATTAGTGTGTTTTCAACATTATTCTTATTCTAAATCCAAAACATGTCACTATACCAGCTGCTAGTAAGAAAATTAACTCTATCCCAGCTAAAACCAGGACACCTTCATTTATATTTACAACTATTCAGTCTGCCCTTTTTAACAGAGTGTGCTAGGGCAATAAATCAGAATTAAATAATTAAGCTACAAAGAAGCATCACTTAATCGTGCTAATTTTTCCAAACATATACTGAATTACTGTGCAATTACTTTAGATGATCTCCAAATCAATCCAAATAATTTACATAAAACATACCTGCTTCATTATATCAAGGTATTTCAATGTTGCAGATTAGCTAGATACCATTTTTAGATCAAGCAGTCATACTTCACAAAAATATCAAATCTTTGTTGTCCTTTCTGATAAACAAATAAAGTCACATTTGGGCATTTCTTAATAACTGTTATCTTCTGTATATTAATACTGCTATTATGGATACACAGGTCAAGTCATATGGCTTTGGACACAGCTAAACTTTTTTTATAATCGGGTATTTTTGTTTGGAAATATGTTTCTCAGTATTTCCGATGTCTAAGGGTGTTTTGGCTGGCTAGTTAGTTTATTAAACTCACCTGAAAAAGTTCTAGTTTTTGAATCTGTTTTGGCACTGAGCTGTTTTCCCCAGGATAGACGCCTATCTCATGAATATTCCAGTTTGGCTGTACTGCCTGCACTTTTCAGCTGGGCCAAGTTGCTTGGTTAGGTGGTGTGTTCACTGCTGCATCTACAATCACATTATTTTTTGTTATGCACCCAACCCCAGTCAGGATGAAGCCTGTATTTCCTGTTGGGAAAATAATAATAACAATAACTATAATAATAACAATTACAACAATAATAATAGTAACAATAATAATAATATCAACAACAACAATAATAATCTGACACAAAAATTACTCAAGTATTGATCCTATCACCCATTAATTGGCCTTTCTTTACCTAACCCCTCGATTGCCAGAAAGGAAGTAGTATAAGTAAATAATGCTGAAATCATTACAATTGGATCTGGGTGCTTTGGGTTTAGTTACTTGGTTCCAACAACCTCTTGCTGGCAGGGAGCTGTTTTCATTAACACTAAGTATCATAAGGTACTACCCCATACTGTGTGTGACCTCGCGGTCTAGTGTGGGTGGTTGGTAACTCACTGTCCTCTGGATGCTGTGAGACAGTGTACTGCTATACTTGCCTTTGCAAGAGTGGTGCAGGGTCTTGCCTGTAAGAATTGTCTCCCCAAACAAAATTGAATATGGTAGGGTTTGTTGTTAACATTAAACCATCCTTCCCTCAAGCCAAGTTAGAGTACATACGTTAAAAAGTTCAAACATGGGCAATAAAAGTCTGTAAGAACAGGTGAACAGGAAATGAGAAGAAAGCTGTGCACCCATTCCTTAGATGGATGCCAAAAGTCAGCACTTCCTGTACCGTCCCTCTAGACGTCTGCGGTCCCCTGTGTCAAGAGACCCTGTTCATGGAAAACAGCCTGTGAGTAAGGGGACACACTTCCTTTTATACCTCAGACCCATTACTGAAATTGATTCAGACTGAAATCATGCCCTGCCTTTGGAACGTTTGAGTCACGGTACAATTACATTTTCCAGAAACGAAGTCTTAAGTGGTTTGAACTCACTTTGTCTGATGTGTGATTGAATCATGACCTGAGTCAGTTTTAACTGCTTTTTCATACAAGGACTTACACACCTTCAGATGTTAACAGTGTGGGTGTCAACATCTTCGAGTATCACTATCTTTGTATATTATTATTTCAGATCATCTCCTTCACGATGAGGTGATGTGGAGGCGTGTATGTTTAATCAGCTGAATCCCACCCAGAGTTCTTAATGTTTATGACTTTTACAAGTTGTTGGATAAAGAAATCCCTTAATAAGTCAGAGAAGCTGGAGAGAATAATGTTGGGAAGACCTGCTGTGGACATCTGTTTGTAAGGCACAGTTTGAGAAAGCTAAATAAGAGGAAGGGACTGGAGGTTGGAGGCTAATTCACTGGAGGTTCGGTAACTTGGACAACAGTATTTCTGTCTCTAAAGAAATTTAAAAAGAAGCAGGCAATAGAGATGTGATTATAAGACAGAGAGCAGCAAAGCCTGATCTTAGTTAAAGTGGTACAGCTCTGAAATAACTGGGATCCAAGAGCTAGGAAGCTCTTAGCTTTAGCCGCTTTAACATAACTGAGGTTTAAACTACGACTCCCAGTGCAACTGTGCAGTAGTGTTTTGACTTCCTCAAAAATACCCCAGAATATAGTCTGTGGCAGTCTGTTCTTTATTTGGTGCCAGGTAATATTGCTGTACATAACAGTCATGCTTGAAAGCCTGTTGTGGTATAGATTTTTTTGTAGGCTTTGGGTCAGATCTTCTGTATGTTTTTTTTTAGCAAAAGATTATCTACAGCACACCAAGGGAAGAAGCAGCGTTAGTGTCTTTTAGGAACCCATTGATAGGTGTTGTGGTATAGCCAATCAGCTGGAATTATTAGATGTCATTTTTTATCTCCAGTTTTGGTATCCAGCACGATGGAAAAGAGAATGACTGTGAGCCTGTTGGAAAGCGCCCATATATTATGTCCCGACAGTTGCAGTATGATCCTACTCCACTGACATGGTCGCATTGCAGCAAGGAGTACATCACACGTTTCCTAGAGTGAGTGATCAGGTTGTAGTATTTCCCTGAAATGACTACAACTGTGTATGAGATGTTTATGTGGAGTTTAAAGTAAATCCTGTATTATTACATTACTAGACGTACCTTTTTTTAGTGTGCTTGAGTTAATTCTCATGGTGGGCATACCCCAAGCTTACATAGTATTTGGGGAAAGCTCATTATATTCTTGTTTTCTGGAGGTGAACTCAAATCTTGTCATATTGGCTCAGGTTTGGTGCAACCTGCAGCTTTTTGCAGTTTTCAGGAGGAAAAAAGCCTTTCCATCAAGGACATTGATGGAACATCGTAAACCTTGCCTTTGGCCACAATGACACGTGCTTGACTTCAATGACTTGTTCAAACTCATTATGTTCTTTTTAAGAGCAGCAATATAGTATATCTTTAAGCAGAGGCTGTTGCGTGCTCTAAAGCCACTGTGGAAACCATAATGACCTCAAAATATTGCCACTGTGACAAGCTATATTTTGTCTTTGTAACGCTCCCTAACTAGATGGAGTGCTGTTTGTTACCAGGACTTCAGCATATCTTATCTGGAATCTGGACTATTTCCAAAGGCCATCTAAAAAATTGCCATTAAGAATTAGATATTGAAAGTCTGTATAGAAGTGTCAAAAAAGTGTGGTTGTAGTTTGTTTGGTTTTTTTAATATGCAATTTTGGTCTTTTAGCCGTGGGTGGGGATTCTGTCTGGATGATATCCCCCAAAAAGAAGTTTTAAAATCCCCAATCATTGCTCCTGGAGTGATTTATGATGTGCATCACCAATGCCAGCTTCAGTATGGTTCCAATGCTACTTTCTGTGAAGATGTGGACGTAAGTGCTGTATGTTTTTCTTCATTCTCCTGATAAGAACTTAAGCTTCTTGACCAGGGTGAAAGTGCAGTGAACCTCAGTTGCTAATTACAAATGCAGCATGTTCAGAGTCTCATAGGCTAGATGTGCAGTGCAGGCATGGCCTAACACTGTTTTGATGCTGCTCTGCAGATTCTGGAAGTGAGTTGTTGCACTGTTTGCCTTGTGTTTTGCAGGACCTTTACAGAATCTGGCCCCATATCTGTTGCCTGTCCTTCAGTAGTGGAGTCATTTTGGTTTTAAACTTACAATACTGATGTTAGGTAAATTATCAATGCAGCTTAAATCCCATTTCAGAAATCAAGATGCTTCAAGCTTATAGCTTTCAACTGACCAAATCACTCAGGGAACAAATCTTCAGTTCCTGGAAGAGTTTTCTAAAGAAATCAGGGTTGTGCTCTCTTCCCATATGTCCTGATTTTTCACACTCTTGATGATCTAACTACTTAAAGGAAATTTCAGTCCAAGTGCCTTTAAGAATCTTTATTTTCCCATCAAACATGAGATTTTTAAGTGGAAATATGTAATTTACAAAGTACCCTGGAGTTTGTATCACAGCACAGCAAAATAGTGCGGTGTACAGATGCACAGGAGCCATATAGTCATACGAGCAGTATAGTCACAGCAGCACAACTTTGTACAAGAGCTAGGAGACACTGCAGAGTAACATGTTATATTAGCTAAGGTGCAGAGGTATAGTATTTTAACTGTACCTAGCATTTGCAGAGCTATTTGGCTCCATGCAGCATTTTTCTACATAGAACAGGTCAGAAACAGTGGTTTCAAGTGCTAGTCTAGCTAAGCGATCACTAATTTTTGATGTGGTTTGGGCAGCAATATGCAGAAAACATTGCAGACAGCACCCAGCTTGCTCCCCCTGTTAAACAGGGATGTGGCAGAAGTGGTGTTATGGCTATCAGCAGAGCTGGAGTGTTTTTTAGGCAAGGCATTGTGCACAGCTGTGGACTGTGGACTGCTGATGTTGACTGTTTATTCCATTCAGGTAATTATGTGTATCCTCATCTACCCTTCTATTAGGGAGATTATTTCTGATTAATCTTCTCAGCCTTAATAGATAATATGATTACTAATGTTGAACTGCAACTAGTGAATCTGAAGCAGGTATTGAAAGATTGCTTTCATTACCCGCTGTTCCAGTTTCCTCAGTTACTGTAATTTGTCTGTTGGTACAGATAGAAAATTAAAGTATAATCTTGCAGTATTGGTTCATTCTATCTGTCCATGGGTTTGAACCTAGCTGGCCCGTACTTTTGATGTCTCCTGATTAACCAATTTTACAGCTAGACATATGTCAGAAAATTAATTGGTATAATCTCATTTTTACATTTTACTGAAAGGCCGTATTTTGCAGGTAGCTGCACTGTCAAGGAAAGGAGTTGTGAATAGTATAATCTGCCTGGCATGTTGAATGATCAATATAGTCATTTTGTCTAAGAGGTCTGACTGTTCTTTGCCTTTTCACTATTTACTTAATGCTCCCTCACTGACCAGGCTACATTTGTTCTTTAACTTTTAATGTCTGATTGAATTTGATCTGTGGATTCTCTTTGAGAGAAGAATCTGCATTTAGCTGAAGATGCCCAGGGGTTCACCGATAACACTTAGAAAAGACTGAGGTTTAGAATTCAGATAGTGGTTTCCATGAACCATTTTGGTAGGAATTCCTCTAGGCACCTTGTGAAGTACCAAATATTGTCCCTCTAATAAGGAAAAGAAAAGCAAAATACAGATTAGGGGGAGGAATTTTCCTAGTGGTAGGTAGATCTATAGCTTCCTATAGGACAGGTTGTAGGAGCTCAGAATCTTTATCTTATTGCCCTCTCTTTATCTCCAAAACTTCCACTGACTGCAGTGAAACTGCGTTTTTTGGACTCAAGTTTCTTTAGGGCACAGACCCTGATCTCATAGATTGGGTAAAAAGTGTATACCTGAAGCTGATGATAAAAATCACTTGCCTTGCAGTGAGTCCATGGTAGAGTTATTAATTTCTGGCTGTTACCTCCAAAACACAGTAAACAGTGCTTTTCCTTGTACTGTTGTTATTCCGGTATTCTTCAAGATGGAAAAAGCTCTGGTACATGGAGATCAATATGGAAAAATTCTTTCAAAGCTAAAGAATTTCCTCCGTGAACTCTTGACTTTGAAATCTATATCTGCACCTGATAAAAATGTAACTGTCAGTGGAAAGCTGTGTTCAGTTTCTGTGCCTTTCTCTGGCATCTGAAGCACAGTGCAGGAGTGCACTTCATACACTAAAAAGCACAAAATATATGCTATATACAAGTGTTAAAGGATTAATTTCATAATGAAAGAATATTCATCAGCCAGAACATGTGGTTAGCTCTGCCATGTGTTGAATGAACCTGACAACGATGGCTTCACAAAGAGTTGCTAAGTAATGCTACTCCTGAGCTATAAATAGGGAACTGCAAAACAACCTCTGACTTGCATACGTTGCCTGAAAGCAGCTAAATGAGCCAAGATGTGATGCCTCCGACATTGTATTCCAACTGGAGATTTGGAGTGCTTTGAGATGTTCTGTACTGTCAACTTCCTTTCTGGTGTTCTAGGTGAGAACCAAGGTGAACACACAATGCAGAAAGTAAATACAAGGCAACTCTCTCAAAACAGACCATGCCCAAGCTTAGCTATTTTAAATAGGAGCAGGTCAGAAACCAGCAGGCAAGTTTTGCTGTTCACACTTGGCCAAACATTGCTGCTGTCTCGCTGGGGCTGGATTTTCACAATTTCACAGTTTCTGTGTTGGCTCCCAAACTTGGCATGTTGTTTGCTCTGAGAATCCCAGTGGGAGCTGCTAGTGGGATCCTTCTTGTCTGCCCCTTTCTCTGAGGACGCTTACAGCTGTCCCTGCTTCACAGGTAGGTGCTGCAAGCTTGTTCCCTCTCCCAGTTCAAACACCCTCAGCCAAGACCTGGCCCAGAGCCTGTGGGCTTTTGCTTCTGCTGTCCCAGTTGGGAGTGCACACTCTCTCTTGACACCTCTGGTTTCTCCAAGTTGGAAGTGGTCTTCTGCACAAAGCCCAGCTCATTCAGGAGTTCCCAAGCATGCAGTGCTCCTGCGTGTGAACCAGAAGAGAAGCTGGTGTGCGTGTGAACTGAGGAGGGGGGAATAGCCCTTGATGTCGGTCCTCGCTCTCTATAGTTCTGATTGAGTGAAGAAGGCTTGTTGTAAGGTAGCTGTAATATTTCTTGCCCTGCTAGTTTTGTTGCCTCTCAGAAGTTTCTGTTCCTTCTGTGGAGTTGACCACTGCACGGGGAGCAGCAGCTGAAATTCTGTGCTTTGCTGGCAATGTACTGCATTAAACTGGCACCAATTTCTGAGTAACTTCGTATGCAAGTGTTCACTGACCAGAGCCCTTACTCTACCCAGCCCACTAGGCCTTTTCTCTGCCAGCTAGCCTGGACTGCTTCTTTTAGATCATTTCTTTGCTGTCTGCTTGGCTGATGTTTTAAGAGACCTGTGTTTTGCTCTCTTTTTCCTCATCCAGTTTTGGGACTTCCATGAATATTAACCTGGCTGTTGTACTTGGAGATACGATATTGTTTTTACTTACCTGGCTAGTTTGTCTAACCTTTGATTTCACTGTATATTTTCAGGCAGACAGCAGTGCAAAACTGAACATCGTATTCATTAGTACCCGTGAAATGAAAATAATACAAACTCTGTTCACCTTCACTATAAATAGTTGTGCCGAGACTTTGTGAAGCCATTTTCCCTGTGTGTAGCTGGGAGCTGAGCAGCCGATGAGGAGAATATTTAAACTCACGTTGTTCAGATAATTCACTTGATAGAAATTATTCGCCGTTTTGTATTTGTCAAATAGTCCCTCCTTGTACACTAATGAGGAGTGCCTAAATTTGGACCCTTGGTGGGTCCTAACTTGTGGAAAACCGTGAGCATCTGTCTCTGGAAATGTAACCTTGTAAGGCTTTGTGAATGAATGTACAAAACGGTGGGAGGCTTTTGAAAATCTTGGCCGCAGGAGTTCAGCTCTGCTTCAGACTGCTGCAGTTTTCTTTCTTTTCCAGAACCTTTGCCAAACACTCTGGTGCTCAGTGAAAGGCTCCTGCCGCTCCAAACTGGACGCAGCTGCGGATGGAACTCGATGCGGAGAAAACAAGGTGACTGTGAGCCACGCTGTCTGCGGCGAGTTGCATTGCCTGCAAAGGGCAGTGGAGGAACCATGAGTAGCTCTGCCATTGTCTAGCATGAAGGAGGGGCATCCTGTGACATCTCCATTTACCTTTCCACGTTATCAAGCTTCAGGGACTGAAATAACAAATAATTCACAATAACATTTTCCACAATAACGATCTTAAGCTGTTTGTCCTTTCTGTTCTCTTTTCAGTGGTGCTTCTCTGGTGAGTGCATTACAGTAGGCAAAACTCCCGAAGAAATCCATGGCAGATGGGGTGTTTGGTCATCGTGGTCCCATTGCACAAGGACATGTGGGGCAGGAGTTCAGAGTGCAGAGAGACCGTGTGATAACCCAGAGTAAGCTGAGTGCACAATCTTTTCTTACCTTTTACTCAGGATCTTTGCGGTACTTACGACATTGGAAACTCTTTTGTATGAGACTGTTGTCAGCAGGTGCCACAGCAAGACAGACACTGACCACCACTCCTTCCCAGTTATATATACCTGTGTGAAATTCAGTTGGCTCACCTTCTACAGTCATTATCTTGTTCTTTAATCTTCACCCTCCATGGGTCTTATTTCTACACAAAATGAAAAAAATCCTGTTGTTTAGCATTCAGGCTTTGAAGAAATAATAGAAATGTTGCTTTAATAGTACTGTCATGAATAAATAAATGTCCTCAAACATTGGGTGAGGAAAATAGCTAGCAATCTGTTCCTGAGGGAAATCAAGGACTCGCCTTTCATGTTTTCTTCTAGTCATCAGCTTTGCTTGAACTTCATACATGTGAGTTGATAGATACAGAACATGAAAAGCAGAATTTTGTAACATGTATCTGAGTTCACGAAGAACATATGTCTTATTGTCAGAAATCACTAAGAGGGTGCCTAACAGCAGAAATCACTTGGCTTTTCTGGAAGAACTGCCAAACATTCTGGAAAATATGTTTTTTTGGGGGGAGTTCATTTGATGAGGTAATTTGCTGTAAGCTCAGCCAGGCAATGTATCAAGCACTCCTTTGGGATACAGGGTTTGTCTAGATCTCTGTGTGCCATACTGACATGTTTGGGCACTTGAACATATGAACAGTATCTCTACCTTCTCAAGGATTTAGATTCATCTTGTTATCCCATTGGAACCTGAAAGACACTGCTCTTTTAAAACTACTTTTTACCCAGAATCTTATGTCCCAATCTCAACGTTCCTTTTCTAGACCACAGTTTGGAGGAGACTACTGCACCGGAGAAAGGAAACGCTATCGCATGTGTAACATCAGCCCTTGTCGCAAAGGCTTGCCAACCTTTCGTCAGATGCAGTGCAGTGAATTTGATACAGTTCCCTACCAGAATGAATTCTACCACTGGGTGCCTGTTTATAACACAGGTACAGACCTACAAATTGTTTAATAACTTGTGTAAAAAGTCAAATTACAGACCTATGAGGAACCTCTATGAGGGCAAGAAGTCACTAAATTATAAGTCTTTTAATTAATTAGAGAGAAGAAACTGGTGTGCTTCCATATGCAGGTGTGTCTTTTGTGTATATGCAAAGGCAGTGGTTCTCCTCTACACATAGATACTTCTGCAAAACTCTAGTGATAATGGCTGTGAGTGTAACTACTCAGTTCCTGGAAAAACACTGTGGTAAGAAAAGCTATTGAAGTCACATCTGTACTAATTGTTTGGGATAAACCTAATCCATTTTTTCCAGTGTCAACCACAGAGCAGTAAGTACAATAGTGTAGTGCAGAGCTGCATGCTTGGGCCTGCAGGCACCACTGCACCAAACAAGTAGAGCTCTTCTGCTGCACAAATGTGGTTTTACTACTTCAAAACTCAGATCTACATGGTACCACACTGAGGAAGTAATCCCTCGACAGGTTCTGTATTGTACTGCCCTGTATTGTAGAGTCAGAATTGATGCCTCTGCCTTATAACTTGCTTTGTAACAGCTAGCTACTAAATACAGGGGCAATAGTTATTACTGTGCAGATTGATTCTTGGTGTGTGCATAAATGTAAGGAGTAGATTATCCAGTAGAAGCTACCAATATTTATTTTTTTTTATGAAAAAATAAGCCAGTCAGGGAAGTGAAGCTCAAGATAACTTTCAATTTTCTTTGCCAATGGTATTTTTCAGCATGTTCATTGCATTTTCACAGTTATTGTCAGTTCTGAATAGGTTTCCTAAATTTCCGCTACAGTTTCAGTTTTATCTAACAAATACACCATTGAAGATAAACCTGGAGCAGTCAGACTTCCAGGAAAATTTCTGATGAAAGATGATATGGTTGATAGAAAAACTTATTCAGAAGGACTCCTAGTAAAACAAACCATGGTAAATGCTAACAGCCTAAGGCTTTGTCCAAAGCCAAACTCATAAACCATTTTCTGCAGCCACTTGTCACTGAAATTGGGATTCTAGTCCTCTCTGTTACTCATGTGTACCACTGCAGGGTACAGGCTTAGTTCTGTTCATGTCCTCTCTAGGGCAGTGCTGCAGAACTGGTAGTTCTGCGTGTGCGTTTGTTGTAGAAGGTCTGCTTTTAAAGGGCATTAAAAATCATGAATCAAATGCTTCCTGCACACTGGAAGACTGGAAGACAGGCCAGCAGTGTGTCCATGCCATATTTAAATAGAACTGATTAGAGCTTTACAGACAAACCACTTATCTTTAGAATGCTGGGTTGTTGAGCCTGGTATATTTCATCTGGAAAATCCTGCGTTTCAGTGACCTTTTGCAAAATCCTTCAAATACCAAGCAAATATTTTTTCTGTGGCTTAAAAAGCTTTCTGACTGTTTTCACCAGTTTTCTCAGCAGCCAGAGTTTCAGTCTAGGGTTACATGTCTCCCCCATGATCTGTGAGGTCCTTAACATTTGCAGCTTCATTCTTACGTTCTATTAATAGCATTTGAAGTGGTTTTTTGCTGCTAAACTCTAACTTAAAAAAACCCTGGCTTCCTCACATAGGCAGGCTCTCCTAGGAGCACTCATCTAGTCAGGGAGTTGGCCAGATCCTGTGCTGATCCTTCATCTGATGTCATCATTGTATGATTGAGGGTGGATGGGTATCATGGGCACACTGCTTCCAGTTTTGTCCAGCCAATGTTACTCCACTGAAATACATCTGAGAGCTTTCTTCCCATCTCAGTTTCAAATTTGCTTTCACCTTCCATTGGTTGCTAAAGGTATCCCGGGCAAAATAACTTGAAATAGACTCATGAAACAGTGTTCTCTTGTGAGATGGAGCAGGGTGAGCCTTTCTTGTGAGTGTTTGTCCTAAAAAAAAAAAAAAAAAAAAAAAATAGACTTTAAACAAAAGCAAACCAACAGTCTGTTGTAAACCCCACACAAAAAAGAGCTGATGTTGCAGGGCTCTGGAGACTTAATCACCATGTTCATCATACGTACACCAATCTTTGTCAGCGTACACCAGCTTTACTCACTTTTCCCTTTAACTAGTCCAATCCAGTTTCAAAGACTTTTCACACCACTCTGTTAGTACTTTAGCTTGCTGCGAAGAAGGTTTGGGCCTGTGTTTTATTATCAGGCATTTTAAATCTTCTCATGCTGCTCGTGGGATATAAGGGGAAAAGAAAGTATCATGAAGTTTTCCCAAACCCTGAGTGCACAAAACAGTTTTTGTGTGGAAGCATCTAGTTGAGGAGATGAAATCCTGAGCTAGACATTTTATGACATTTTAGATAGTAGGTGTTCTAGATCTAGATGGTCACAGTTCTCTCTCCTGGCTTTAATGTCATACCTTACATAAGCCAGTTCGAATGAATGTCACATAATTAGGCGCGTCGTAATGTTCTTTTCTGTGTGTAAGTTGTACCTTCAGAAGACGACAAACATTCAATTCTTTTTTGAATAGCTTATGATTTAATATAAGGTGAGATGCAACAAGCAGCTTTAACGAGCAACATGGCAGAAAAACAGTGAATGTCATCTCGCCGTTACCTAGGCCAACTATATTTCAGGTTCCAACTGGAATTTTCCCCTCTGTTTTCAGTGAGTTTGGGCCTGTTGGGGAACTTGCATAGTCCTATTGTGGATTTGACCCAGAGCACAGAAACCCATGTGCTCAAGCTGGAGCTCCTGAGTATCGACATGAAGTATCTTCCAGGTTCAAGGGTGTATCTTCTAGGTTCAAGGGTGGCTAAAGCATCCAGCAGCTCTGACCGGGGAATTTTCTGAATTATTCTCATGATCTAGGCCCCTACTTTGACGCTTTAGTCAGACTTTGGTGCTAATCTACTTCTCTTACCATCAGGCTGACTACACATTTATTTATTTCATACCTTTTGGCAAATTACATTTATCTGAATCTGATAGCATCTCAGGGCATAACTTCCATGTAATAAGTATGAGTCCTACATTGAATCATATAAATACCTTTCTTTTCTCAATCAATGCCAGGATCATCTCAGGTACTGACAGTAGGAGTTATGTTGCTGAAGTGTTTTAAACTTCATATTTCTTCCAAAATATGTCTGTGTATCTAGTAAGATTTGTACTGATACGGTCACAGGGGCTGAGCTAGCAGCGTGAGATAGTGTTTCTGCTGCCACTGCTTTGAAATTAAATTTTCTTCTGGAGTTCCAAGTTTGGTCAAAGTGATAAAGTAGCTTCACCTCAGCTGTCTTTCCCTGTTTCATCTGTGTTTGCTAATTGTCTTTTCTAATTTTCTTTGTTCTGGATTTCCTCCTCCAATTCTGAGTTCTCACAGAAGTGAGAGTTTGTAGAGACTCGCCTCTTTCCTTCCTTGTGAAGTAGGAAAAAATATTGAAGCCTTATCGTCCGCTGGCAGACACATTAATCACATCCTTCTCAGTCAGGTTAAGCTGGATCCTTCCTGCATGTGAACTCATGGGAGTCAGCTGTGACGGCAACAAATTTAAATTAGGAAGGCAATATATTCCTTTCTAGTTATTTTCATGTTGTTCTGTTTACACTTGGTGACTCTGAGCTCTGTTATAATATGCACAGGGGAAGAAAAAATCACATGCCTGAATTTGGGGGATTTTTACTCAGCTTTGCTGGCTTGCTTCCTCAGTCCCATTCTGATTACAAATAAGTCACTGAGCGCTTATGGAAGTTCTGTGGCTTGGGGTTCCATTACGTCTGGGTTTCTTCTATGTATTAGATGATTGGTCTTGTCCCTGTTCAAATCAGCAGCATAATCTTGGTGCAGGACTATGGATAAAAATCAGGATGTCTTTTTTTCTAGGCTGCTGAGTGGTGGTGGCACCTCAGCTAAAACCTTATTTCCAGCTAGGAACAACGCAGTGCCAGAAGGATGTGGCCAGACTGGAGGAGGTTTACAGGAGAGAAACATGGAATTCAAATGATTTGAGAAACATAGTTTATGGGAAAGCTTGAGAAAAGCAAGTTTTGCTCTAGAAAAGAGAAGATGGAGTGAGTTAAATGTCAACTAGTTGAAGATAGTTTCTAAGGGTATATAGCAAGCATATCCCTGAGCTAGTAGAGATACAGGCTAGCAAGACATGCAGTGTTGTGCTCGGGTCTGGAAGAAGCCATTGAGATCCAAGCACTTCTGTGCCCTTGTTAACTGACTTTGAAAAACAGGACCCTGTGGTCTTATCAGCTCAGTTTCAATGTAACTCTTCTGCTTTCAAACTTGGATTTGGCATCAAGTTTTCTGTCAGTGTACTTCAAACTGCAGCTTCCCATCCCCTCCACTCAAGCAGTACAGAAATACCCAGAAAGAGGCGGATCCAGGAGTTCCTCACGTCCATGAAAGATAGGACAAGCAGAAACAGCCAAAACAGCAGAAGGAAGCTTTAGGTTATAGATTAAGAAATCATTGTTGCTGTATGGTGGGTTAACCATTAGAGGCAGGTTACCTATAAAGTTTGAGGCATTTATATTATCATTGTAGATATAAATGCAATCTAAGCAGGAGCAGTCTAAGTGGTTTGATCCTACTTTGGTGTGGAAGGATGGGTAAACTCTGTAGGCTTTACCCAGGCAGAAATCAGATCTATTTAAATGGGAATTCAGTGTGCTTTTTCTGAACAGGGGTTGTGTGAGCATAGTCATTACTGCGTGTTCACAGATTGGATCTGGTATTTCATGCATATGTTGGATTACATTAATTTCTGCGTATTTTGCCCTGAAAGTTATTAAGATGACAGCCTTTTTGTTAAAGTCTTATCATGAAGTAACCAAATTTGCTGAAGTAACTGAAACTAAACCAGCTGCTTTAATGAGGAGTTACTTTTGAGCAACCCTAGAGCTCATATTGATCTCAGTTTTGTCTATTTAGATTTTCAGGACTGAAATAAGATTTAGAAAATCTGAATTCAAGGTCAGTCTTTGCTTTCAAGTTCTTCCATCATTTTGGAAAATGTATTTGTTTTCCTTGTGTGTCACTACTCTATATGAAAACAGGAGATAAAAGTATTTTCTACATCTGTATCTGTTTTGTGTTTAAAATGTTAGACTTTTTGAGGACAGTGGCTGATTCTGGTGCGGTTTATTTACAGTCTAGAATAATGGAGCCCTGATCTTTTGTCAGGTCCCTGAGCTCAGCTGTAAAAAAATAATGATAGATAAGTAAATAATTTTAGAAAATGGATGGCTAATACAGTGCTAGGATAATTTCCTCAGTGGTGCCCCAGCCAGCCCTCTATGCAGATGAAATATCAAAGTAACTTGGAGAATGATGGCAGGAGTGTAAATACTGGATAGGATTGAGTTTGTGGAGAGGGAGCAATATCCTTTCGTTTCCAGTGGGACTCAGTAGAAAAGTGACAGGAAGAAAAGCAATGCAAAATTTGTGGGTACAGGTAGGATCTAAATTTATATCAGTTACTACAATTAGGAAAACCAGGAAAGCTTTCATACCTAGTAAGCCCTTCTTTGAATCATGAACCTTTGCAGGTCTGAAAGTTTGCTTGTTATTTATTTTTACTTTTTGTTTTGGCTAGTAAGGGAGTTACCTTGCTCTGCAAACTTTTTCTGAGTTATATACTTAGAGCATCATAGTTATGACAGGAATATGTCAGCAGTCAGCACTGCCTGCATTTTCTTGCTCAGTGATTTCTGAAATGAAATTTGGTACCATCTTGCTTGTTATGTCAACACACAACTAGGGAGGAGATCCAGATAACAAACTGCTGCTCTACATATTTCATTACAAACAATGTAAAAACTGAAATGGCTTTATGCAAAGTCTATGTCCATCAGGATTGATTCTGAGCAGGTAACGGACTAGCTGGGATTCTGGGATTCTCCTTTCCAGAGGGTATTGTGCTTTGTGTTTAAAAAGTGGTGCATTGAGAAGGTAAGCAAGGTGAAACAAAATTTAGAGTGCTAAAGTAATCAAATTAGCCACATGGTCAGAAAAAGATTTCTGCAGATATAAATAAAATTACTTGTATCACTTATCATGACAGCTCTTATCAGAACAACTGATGGATGTTATGGCTGGCAGTTTTCACAGAGGGGCTGAGGGCTGATAAAGATTACAAACTTTATGTTCTTGCCTGAGACTCTTTTGTATCGCCATCTGCATCGATATTCTTGAACGTGACTCACATCACCTTGAATTCCATGAGTTTTATAACCTTAGTCCATGTGTATCCTCTCTCTCTAAGCACTTTACTGCCCTTTACAAAGGCATCTTTGTTTGAGAAGCCACAAGTACAACATTGTTGTCAGTCCTAAGATGCCATTTTAGCTCTACTGACGGGAGGGAAAACACAAAACTCCTCATTAAACTCCTCCTTTAGTGTCTCTTTTTTATTTTTTGGACCCCAGTTCTGCAGAGATCCTGTTTATATACATGAGATTCATAGTTTTAAAGCTCAAGCTGTGTAAGATTCAGTCCTTGAGCTGTGACTTTTGTGCACTGCTTGGTGCTGTGCAAACCAGAGCGATGAGAGCAAATTTCCCCATTCCAAATAATAAACCCTTTTGTGGGAAATTATTTAGTTTCTTTGCATTACCAAAAGTTTCAATTTCTCTGTTACTGGAAATTCCTCTAATTTTAAGCACAGTTCTTTGTATGAGGCAAGCCAAGTCAACAAAGGAGGAAGGGGAGGAAAAGGGAGAAAGAAATTCATTAGCCAGGATGTGGAAGATGTGTAGTTACCTTGCATCCCTCTGAGACCGAGGGAGGAGCTTTTGTCGGCTCTGTCAGGCACAGGGTGAAACTGTCCCTCAGCAGAGGAACCTCTGCAACACACAGGGAGATTGTATTAAAATGGCTCAGTAATAGTGCCTTGAAGTTCCTACTTACTGGTGGTTTTAAGGCCTACTGCTTTGCTCAGCAAAGCATTTCAGCTTGCTAAGCATAAACAAATTGCTTTAGCACCTGGCTAGACTGGGGTCTTGGAACAGACCAAAACCAGAAGATAGGTCCTCTATTATGGTCCCTCATCAATATGACAGTGGATGGGTGGGTTTTTTCGGTCAGATAGCTGTGGCTCTGCTGGAGGCTTTCCAGGGAGTGATATAAGGGCAGGGATTATGTTGGTCTTTGCTTTGACCCTGGTTTCACTTCTAACTTATCTTCCAGGTACACAATTTATTTACCAAGCTTGTGTGCTTTGACTCTCCGAAGCCTGAGTTTCAAAATTTCCCATTGCCAAGGGCCAGTTTCTGTGAGGCAGGGGAGTGTGTGTTTGCCTCTCTGTACTCCATGGATAGAATAGACTAAGTCTGTTCCATTGCAGAAAGTCTTATTTCAGAGATCCACAGATTGCTTCTGCTACAGCTTTTCTCTTCCCTGCTGCTTCCGTGCAGATCTATCCAAGAACAGCCTGGGTCTGTCAGACCCACCAATATTATCCCCATTTTGTAAGGTGCCAAACAGGAAAAAAGTCCAGTGTTTGAAATAATTTATTAAGTGCCAGAAGACAGATGAAAATAAGCAGTGATGTGACATTCTACTGACATGCAGATCAGAAGCAACCGTTTGACTGCTCTCTGAGAGAGGCTGGCAGCAGCGATGAGCAGTTATAAGTCATCTCTGAAACGATGCAGTCATCAGCTGGTGGGAAACTGTTGCTTGTCAGTGTCCTTGGCAATCTCACCCACAGATTCCTCCTTTCTCCTCACTAATGACAGTTGGTTTTGCTGATTTCCCATTCCTTTCTCCATCACAGCTGACAGCCTCATTACTGCTCAGCTCAGCCAGCTGGCTGCTAACGTGAGAGCGTGGAGCCATGCGGGCACCAGCCTCCGGCTGCTTCCTAGAAGTCCACAAGTGGCATTTATCAGGCTTGTGTCACCCTGTTAGCAATATGACCCTGGCTCTGCTAACTGCTTCTAATTAGGCCATTTCGGTCAGCAAACACCAGGGAAAGTGAGTGGATGGTGCGGTAAAGACATACTGTCATTCTCTGTGCATTCCAGTTCACTGTCCCTCTGAAGTATTTTCTAAGAAAGTATCTTTGGTTTCCTTTCAGCAAACCCCTGTGAGCTCCACTGTCGCCCGATAGATGGTCATTTTTCTGAGAAGATGCTAGATGCAGTCACTGATGGTACTCCTTGCTTTGAAGGAAGGCACAGCCGAGATATCTGTATTAATGGCATGTGTAAGGTATTGGGTATGTTTGCATGTTTCTTTCTCTACAATTTTATTTTATAAAGTTATGGGAAAATGTTTAACAAATTTTTTTGAGGATCGAGGCCAAGTACTCCATTTTATCACATTTTTAGTGATCATGGAAACAAGTTTATAGAAACAGCTTTTCCAAGTAGACAAAAGAGTTGTTTCCATCATTTTTAATGAATCCATTAGACTGAGTGCTAATTACTTTTTGGTACCCTTTAACTCCTCTCTTCTTCCATTATTTTAAAACATCAATTTAAGAAAATCTGTTTGTTTCTGATGCAATGTAGCTTTAAGGTTGTAATTGGTGTCACCACTCCGTGTGTTTTTTTTATGAAAATGCAGTTTAACATCACACATTATGTAGCAGTTCTGAACTGACTTGTAATAGGATCAGACATTTGCTCTTGAAGGCAGTAAAAATTGTTTCAGTTTGCAATAGTAAATTGAATAACGCTGTACAATGAGATAATGGGCAAACACAGAGCATATAGTTCAATAATGTTCTGTTTATTGAAGAATGAAGTATGAAGTTCTCTGCATATTCTGCATGTTGATAGTTGGTTTCCAGGATGATGTGTGCATGGGCACAAGTTGGAACACAGGAAGTTCCGTTCCAACACACGGAAAAACTTCTTTACGGTTCAGGTGACAGAGCAGTGGCACAGGCTGCCCAGGGAGGGTGTGGAGTCTCTTTCTCTGGAGATTTTCAAAACCCGCCTGGATGCAGTCCTGAGTAATGTGCTCTGGGCAATCCTGCTTTGGCAGGGGAGTTGGACTAGATGATCTCGTGAGGTCCCTTCCAACTTTGAAAATTCTGTGATTCTGTGATTTGTGGCATTTGAAGGTGTGTTCTGTAAATGCTGTAACATGCACAATCTTAGCATTGGTTTTAGTTAATTTCTTATAAGTAAAATTAGTACTTTAGTCGCAGGGGATATACTTACAGCTACTATTTATTTCTTCCAACTGGGCATTTGTGTCCTGTACCCACTTGAAGCCTGATATTTTTTTTGCTTTTAACATCTTTGGAAACAAAAGGACTTGGTGTCATGTGGAAACTACATTAGCTTACTGTAGGGAGCTTGGGATTGTATGTCCTAAGTCATTGAATCATATAAAAATGCAACTAGAAGGGACTTCAAGAAGTCATATATTTCATGTATTACAGAATCATGTTCCTTTTTTGATGTTTTTCACATGCTCTTCTTAAAGACTTCTAGCAATAGAAAGTCCACATTTTTAATAGGTCATTGGTATATTCTCTCTGAGGACTTTCTGTTTTAGTAGAATGCCAGTGCAATAAAAGGTTTGTTTTAAGCTTTCCTTGCAGGGCATGCGTTTGTGAAAGGGAGTTACTGAGATTCTGCTCAAATTCACAGTGAAGAGGTTCTTCTTGACTTTGCTGAGAGCCAGGGTGGGCCTTTTAACTATGATAGTGAAAGACCTGAAATGCCCCTAAGCACTTCAAGACAGATGGAAACACATTGTTAGCATATTGAAATGTGTAGTAAATGTTGCATGCCATATCAGTGCTTTTGACCTTCACTTGGAATAGGCCAAGTGCTAAACTCCGAAGTCTGTCTTTGTGGTGTTACACTTGCATTGTCTGATTTCAAGCCCAATGGACTGGGATCACTATGGTTAATTTTAGTTTCCATATGCTTTCTGTATTGAACCTTGCCTGTGACACTACCTATTTTAGAAAGAGCAAAACTTGATTAATTAGAAGCAATAGACCAGAGGTGAAAGGAAAGCTAACTCCTAACTGCAGTTTGTAGATACTAGATATACTATAGCATTAATAGTTCTGGCGACTCAAAGCCTTTCTAAAAAATTTGTTCCAAGGTACTGGTGCTATCATAAATACAGATTTGTCAGCATTTCACACATTGACTACTGCTTTACATCTTCTGACAAACAGATTTAACTGGACTCAGAATCATGGAATGAACAATATAATCATTCAGCTGCCACACATGAGACCAAATGACGAATAGGTAATGCAAAGCTCACATTTCTGAAAGACAGTGTGCTTTTATCTGAAATAGGTACCCAACATAATACTTGAGGAGAAGCTATTTCAAGTATCTGTATAATTCACTAGTATTTTAGTCCAGCTAGTTAAACGCAATACATACTTCACAGGTTACAGTGAATAAATCTGAAAATGCTTTTAATATAATTAGTCTGGTACCTCATTCTTGTACTCTGGTAGCAACGTGTTGCTAATGATGTGAAAAAGGAGTTTGCAAACATTAATAGCAATGTCTATTAAAGCCTGTTCTGGTTTTCAGTACTGTATCTCACAAAAGTACTTCACATTTGTTCTGAGTACTAAAATAACACTTCACTTAAGTCTGAAATATAGCAAAAAATTGAAATGGTGAGATGTTGTACATTAGACCCACTGTCCATATCACTCACGTGTGTTTGGTGTGCAGAGTAGCTCTTTTTTTAACAACAGAGTTCAGAGTTTTCCTAGTGGCTATGTCAAAACAAAATATACTCAGATCCAACCAAGAATTTAGTCTCCTAAATTCAGCTGGTTTTGATCTGATTTTGCCATTTGCCATTGTTTTCTTCAGCGCAACATGAAATTTGTATTGAGATGCCTCATTTTAGCAACCTGAGGTATACTGGATGCTTTCCTAGCCACCTTGGCAAAGCCATAATGTGCATTTTCAAGTGGGAAGTAAGTAAGGACAGACACTAGCACTGATTCACTTGGCCCTTGCAATTTGTCCAATATACGGGTCCTTATTTTTTAGAAGTGCTGCCTATGCCTCAGTGCAGAAGGAAGCCTTACCGGTGAGGTGTTGGTATGGTGTTCCTTTAGAACTTGCCTCAATTCTAAGATAAATTTTAATAACTCCTTTGGGAGCCTGACGTGTAAAGTAGCTAGGTCGTCTCTCAGATTTATCCTTAGACAGAAGAGTTCCCTAAACCCATGTAACACTGTTAAATCACTCAGTTCTGGAACCAGTGCCTGCCAAGGGGGATCTCAAAGCTATGTGCCTGCAGTTGTGACCATCTTTTGCTCCAGAGGGTGCTAATAAGGAGATGAGAGATGCGGTCCCCTTAATCCTTTCACTGTATTTGCACGTGGCCTTTCTTCAGATACCTTCTTAGATTCCCTCCTGTCATGGTGTCTGACTTATAAACAGCTTTGAGTGGAAGGAGTCAACACAGTCGGTCAGTAATTTAATCTAAAATCGTAAAGATAAACCATGACTAGTTTGCTATTTAACCATATTCCTCCACACTTATCCATTGAGCGTCACTTTTCCTCCTTATTTAGAAGACCTTTAAAGTACATATCCTGTCTTCCAGTGTTTTAAATTACACATCACAAGTGCACTCTTAATTCTTACTAGAGCAGTCAGTTGCTCCCTCCGTGTTAATAAGCAAAGATATTGCCCCCAGTGTATGTTTGTTGAGCAGTGATACCTACGTGACTGAGAATTTTCATCAAATACAAGGCATGGTCATCTGGAAGTGGAGACTTACATGGTGTACGAAGTGAGAGAGTGCAGATACTGAGGGTGGAGGACCTGGCATCTCTGCTCTTTCTCATAGGCATTGATCTCCTGAACAGAATTTTAATAGGCTTAAATGACCTTCAGTCATGCAAATCTGTGAGCTGTTCTCTGTGGTAATTCACAATTGTTACATTGGGAGACTAACATATTGCAGAATTACACAGCTGTGTAGTACTAGGGAGGAAAGTGTTTTTTTCCCTTGCTGAAAAGCAGATGACACATCTCAGATTTTTTTGTAGTAGCTTTACGACCTTTCACTATGTATGGTTCAATCTCCTCCTCCCACTGACAGCCCAACAGGACATTGATTCATCCCATCTAGACAAATTATAAGAGAAACAGGCAAATCAGGACACATTTCTCCCCATTCAAGGCAATGTCATGGTCAACATGAAACAAACATGATTTCTTTATTTGGAGGCCAGTGGGGGAGATAAACGGAAGGAAGAGCTTAAAAGTGCAATGTAGCATCCACGTAACTTTGCTATTCAGGCAGTACATCCAGGCTGTAGCCCTCCGTGACTGCAAGGACTTTTTGTATCTGCCCCCTGCTGCCAATCTGACACAAAAGTCTCTCCCTCTGGAAGTGGCAAAAGGGTAATATCTCTGGCTGTTTTCCCTTTAGTCACTGAGCAGCAGGAAATAAATTGTTTCTCCTTCCTGTAATGTAGCCAGGCAATTCGGGTCATTATTTCTGCCGCGGCACTGTGTACTGGGACCAGAAATAAAGCTAGTCTCAGGTGCGTGAAAAAGGCTCTTGGTCAATGGGGCAATGGCAAAGGGCTGTGTGGAGGGATGCTAATTTGCGCTGCGTATGCTATGGCACACAGTGGTTGCTGCAGCACAGCATCTTACACTGGCAGAGGGTGCACAAGGACATATGTGTGCAAAAGAATCAGAGCCTAATTGCTGCTGATTTTTTTTCTTGTTTTATAACCTGCATTTAGTTTCCAGATCCTTTTTAACAGGCAATTTGGCGGAAATTTGAGGCACATTATTTAAGGCAGTTTTAGAAAACATGGCTACTGCACATCTAGAAGAACCAGAAGAGTGAGGAAAGCAATGAGGAGGAAGGATCTAGAAATTAATCTAATGGATGACAAAAATAATGTGATATGCACTGGAGCGGGAAAGTAAAACATGGCCTGGAAATTAAAGTTCATGTAAATGTACTTAGAATGAATGACTGCTGGAGCTGTTTATTTTGGCACATGAGAATATACACTTTGTGATGGTCATTAATGGTCTTGTAAGATCAGGCCGTGTCGCTAGTTGTGAAGGTCATTGCACCACCAGCAGCGCCCCAGAGCTAGGGAATAAAATGAGGGCTTTATTTACTGTGACACAGTAAATTGCCTGCCCTGCCACAGTTGTCTGCGGTGTCTCATTCCTGGGGATCCGTGTGCCTCACCCTGCCATGTGTGTAGGTAAGAATGTGATGCCTGATCAGATACAAATTATGTTTTAAATACCAGAGGAAAAACAAAATACAAGCTTCCATGGTTATAACTGGAAAGGACAAAGAGATTCCCTTCATGCCATAGCGATGTCATATTTTGACGCCATGGATGTATTGCTAAATGAAATGTGACAGAGGCACTAATTGGCACCCCAAAAGCAGGAAAGTGATGATACTGTGGTGCTGCGACCAGACCCATTTGCTACTGCCAGTGCAGTGGTTCAGGACTAATTTGTCCAGCATTTAAGGATCTTTACACTGCACAATACTCACAAGGCAAATACGCGCAGTGATGTTCATTTCAAAATATCTGATTGACAGCCTGAACTGGGTAAATTATTTCTGGATGCAACCACTCAAACAAGCATGAACAGTAAATAAAGACAAAGAGAAACCTTTTCAAGAACGCGCATTTTCTACCAGAAAATGCTAATTTGGCAAAAATTATGCAATTCGAAGACAAGTCATTTCTTTTAAGAAGTTCAAAAGAGAAGCTCCAAAACACTCATTAGTAATATTTCTTAATAGCAAAACATGAAGTGCAAGGGTTCCCTTTCCAGATTTTCTCCAACTTTCTGTTTAATAGTGAATATGTACATAGAATAGAAAATAAACTTCAACTTTCAGGACTCTTCAGAGAGGCTGGTTACTGTTCTGGTCTAATAGTAAACCTGATCACAATGACTTTACTAACTGTTTGTAGGTGATTAACAAACATACTAATAGTACAGTAAATATACTGCAGAATGCATCTCTTTGAGAAAATAGCCACACACCTACTTCTTTAAATTCTTAGGAATCGGTAAATGTAAACTGCAGTGCCTCTGTAGATAGCAGGTGAAGAGTCAGATGTGAACTCTCAGCACGATAAAGAACATCCTGCACTTAATCGCAGTGGCGTCTGTGTACTAGCTACATGCTTGGAGGCAAAAGTGTAGTCACCTACTTAACGTGCTTATCTCTGTCACATTCTGTACTGCTCATAAACATGATCCTTGGTGCCGAGATGTGTCTGTGAGAAAGACATTACAAAACCTTCCCTTTTCTGAAAGTAGCCTTCGCTGAAAAGAGAGAGAAGCTGAGGCTGCTGCAGAACCTTTTGGGGTGGCCATTGTTTTTTAGAGCAGGTATCAAAGGTGCTGGTTAAGTGTTGGCATGAAGTGATGGATGAGTCTTTTTTGAATCCTCGGTAAAAATGCAAGTGATGTGGTTTAAAACCATATGTAACTTGAGGCTTTTCCTTGCTTATGTTTTTGCAGCTTCTCTAGCTGTTCATTAAATCATTGGCTCACAGAGGAAAAGTTCAGGTGTTTCTTGAGCTGAAAAGGATGGAAAAATATTAGAGAATGCAGGAGCCTTTGTACCTAGATTAGTCTCATAGATGGATGTCAGAAGCTTACAGAAGATTACAGTAGGTTATGTAAATGTATATTACATTTTATGGAAGCTGAAGGTAAAATAAGATCAGAATCAAAAGAGGAGATACCCGGATATTCATACATCAAGAGGGCATTAGAGAAGTTGGCAGGTATTGCACCTGAAAGCCTATTTTGAGGGTAATCAGCTAAGAAGAACTCCACATGCCATCAGACTTACGGCTATTCATCTAAATCACAGGCCTCCAGATATCTTACTATTTACAACCATAGGTGTTGGACATTAGGTTGTGCTCTGCAACCTTGCTAGTTTTTAAAGAGAGGCAAAAAACACCCCAAAATCAAATGAAGATTTTGTTGATGTTTCAAAGCATTAGTACACAGGATTTCTGGTTTGGGCAGGGAAGAAGTTTTGTCCTGACTCAGTATGAATAAGTTTTTCTCTCGCTTTCTCCCTGTAGCAAGCATGAGCTGGAAAATCAGTCTTTACCAGACCTGTATCTTTATCCATTCCCCCATGCTGGCAAGCTGGAGAAGCAGCTGGCACGGGTATAAAACTTCAGGCCTGCTGAAGAGTTTCTCTTTGCCTGGGGGTGTGACTGCATCCTAGATTATGAGTTCATTTGGGTGGCATGTTCCCATCTCAAGTAGCTGGTCGCTATCGTACGTTTCATGCCATGGTGGTGGTTGTTGCTTGTTTGTTTGTTTCTCACCTTCATATGAAACACCAGTTTGACCCAGATACAGCGATGTCTACTATTAATTTGTTTATATAGGATATACACTCTTCCAGAAAATTGATTCTCCCCCTTCTTAGAAGAGCGGAGTACACTGAAGGCAGTGATACATGAGCTCTGAGTGGAGGCCACATTTATTCTGAAACTGTTTTTCCTTCTAGACTGTTGGCTGTGACTATGAGATAAATTCCAATGCAACTGAAGACCAGTGTGGAGTTTGCCTGGGAGACGGTTCTGCTTGTCGTACAGTGAAGATGATGTTTAATCAAAGTGAAGGATTTGGTAAAATGGGTTCTTTTTCTTAAACTCTTTGGTTGGTGAAGTCATTTCTCTACATAAAAAGAATTAAGTGCTTCTCATTCCAAACTGAGTGATTGATCTGTGTAGGAAATTTTAAATGGATGTTTCACAGTGAATCATGCTTTTGCCAGAAAAGATCTGTGATCTGTGCTTTTTAAGTTCATGTTATCTAATAGAAATTATGTCAGAGACCAGCAGGCCCTGCACAAGTTACGCGGGAATAATAAAACCCAAAATAGCAAGTGCATTTACCAGATGAATGTAATTTACCACCTTGGAAAATCTGAACCCCTGAATGATGTAAAGTGCCAAGAAAATGCTGGAGTGATTGGTTTGGGGATTCCTTTCTAAGTGCCATAAATCTGATACCACTGGTTCTGGTCAGCATATGCCACCTCTTCATGCAGAACTTTGTGCTTCTGGTTGCTCTAAAATTTTCTTGGCTTGAAAAGTAACTCCCTGCAGGGTTAAGGTGGTCTGAATCCACACATGGAGAACTAAGCCTGACAGCAGGGAGACATTTGGGCTTTAAGTTGCCTTGTGTGGGACAAATGAGCGCCAGAGAGTTTAGATGAGGGAGTGCGAGACTAGAACTGAATGAGAACCATGGCAGTGAGCTGGAGATGGAAGAGGCAGCCAAGATGAACAGCTTTGAATGGGAAACCGGGACAGGAGGGAGAGAAGTGAGAAGACAGAGCACTGAAGGGTGTGCTTAGAGCGAGGTCTGTGGCTGAAGAAAGAGGCTAGTGCAGAGATCAGAAGTCTCAAGGGCAATAATTAGTACTGTGCTAGTGAGGAGGCAGAAACTGTTGTGAGGTGTGGCTTTGGCTGGCTTTTGGGTTTGTGTTTTTTTTTAATAAAATAATTCTGATTTGCACAAATATGATTTGTGCGAATAATTTAGAGCTGGTTTGATAAGATTTTCCAGCATTTGGGAGAAAAGCACTTCTAATATTTCAGGGTTTTTTCTGTACTGTGTACTTGGATTTGCTTTCCTCCCATCTGTATCCCACAGGTGAACTGTGAAGATGCCTGCAGCAGTGCAGGTTGTATAAGTGTGTGAGACTTACAAAGGAAAATCTAGACCTCCCTCTCCTCCAAGGCCACAGTAATCCTCCAGTCTCTGATCTTTTGCTTCTGCTACTCTACAATTCACTCTGTCTTTAACTATGTATGGATTTTCCAAGGCTGCAGGTGATGTGAAGCTTATTTTCAAATAACAGTTTTACTAAAAAGGTCCAGTACTGTAACACATGGGAGGATAAGTGCCTCTTACTTTATTTAAATTCATTTTGTGTTTTATCTTCACTTAGTTTTTCCTTGCCCCAAGATTCAGTAAGCCTCCTGACAGATACTGCTGAGGGATACTGGGTATTAAGGAAAAGTATTTCATTGCTTTCTTTAGATTCAGTAAAAAATGCATTGATTCTGCAGATTCTACAGATGTTGACTCCATTGCAGACAAACTAAGGAAGAGTGTCACGAAAGGCAGAGGTTGGCAGGCTCCTCAGCTTTTAAGACAAGGTGTGGTATCGCTGATGTTCACAGGTGTTAAGCTGAGAATAGGAAAATAGTTTTGTCCACAATATTTGGCTTCTTGTTGTCTCTGACAGGTACTGGGGCGTTCTGTCTTGCAGAACAGTTTTATGGCAGAGTGGCTACTGAGCAGTTTATGTAAACATAGAGACTTCAGGCTCACTTATAAATTCAGTACGGGTAACAAAACTGGACCAAAACTTGCTGGCAGTCACTGGCAAGGAATATTTGAAGAGTTTTTTCTATAATTAATGGCACAGAGAAATAAAAAAAATCAAAGCTAATGTACTTCTAATTCAAGTTTTATTTAGAACCTAAGTCCAGCAGGGCCTTTCTTGGGTCTGGTGCTGCAGCAGTGTGTATTCTCTCTGCAAGTTGACTAAGTTGCCAGGTCAGATTAATGAAGTGCTAGGAAAGTTTTAATAATTCAGCCTTTCACTGCAGGGCAGAGTGGTCGGTTTTACATGAAGTCATACCACCTCATGTTCAGAAAGAAAAGTTTTAAAATCTGTATTATTAGTTAGATTTTCTTTAAAATTCTTTGTCTTTCCTGTGGATGCAAAATGGCAATAGCGGTCCAGGGGTTCCCAACACAGTTGCAGGAAAGGCAGCATCATCTGTGTAATGGATTCCATTGGAGTTTCATGATGCAAAACAAATCTGACATCTGATGTACACACATGGTCTCAGCTGTTGACACTAATATTAGCAAGTACCTGGCCTGCACCTCGTTAGTGAGTACCTGGTCTGCACCTCATTTTCAGGAGGTTCACTTGAAAGTCATTTAAGTTCCTTCAGTTGAAGTCTTACAGCAGAAATGTGGCAACATAAGCAGGACATTGAAAAGCAAGGTCTAGGCCTGCACAAAGAAGTCACAAGCTCTCCTGTTTTTAAGGTAGAAGAAGTCTGCTTTTATTTTGAGGTGGAGTATTTGAAAGTGGAAATCCTTGTTCTTACTGATGTTGTTGTGATGACTGCAAAGCAGTATTACTGTGAACAGCAGACCATTTGCAAGGTGTGCATACTCTTTTGGGAGGAGCATAAATTGCGCTGCTGAATGGGGAGAAGCGTTGGGGTAGGAGAAAGACTGTGGCAAGTGCAGGGAGTGTGGAGTAAATGGTTAACAAGAAGGGGGACTGAGCCTATAAGGATGAGACAAAGGGATCTGCCTGGGAAGGAGTGGCTGGGAAACAAGTGGTGGTCAGAAGGATGGGTAATTGTCCTGTCGTTACCCTTTTGTGTGTGTAGGGGGAAATGAATTTTCCCGCTTGGAGTAGCAAGGGGACAATGCATTTAAATTTATGAAAATTAGGAAACAAGGGATTGTACAATAGGGGTGGAGGAGTTTTACTCTGCCAGTCAGAAGGAAAGATTAGGTGCCTGTCACTCGTGTGAAGGGCTGAATTTTAGCAAATTGATGGGCAAACAAGGAAACTGTGGCTATACTCACCCAAACCTGGAGGTTTATCCTGGTCCCATTATCTCCTCACCAACTTGGCTGGGACTGAATCAACGTGGTCTCCCTGCTGCTACCCCTGTGTCCTTTTCATGCAACCAAAGTGCAGACGGAGATCTGGTATGTGCCTGAACCTAGCCCTGATATGTAGTGCGGACATAGCCATGATGTAAATGCTGATCTGAGAGACTTAAAGGTCATCTGGATCCTCACTTAGGAGACAGTCTCTGGACTGTATTTTTTTTTTCCCCATTACCATCACACACTGCGGTGTGCTCCCTCTATTTCATGGGAAGGCTGTATGCAGCCATAGCTTGACTTGCAAACCTGATACACCACTGGGAGCCTGTGCTGTATTTCACGTAATATTTTTGTGGTACTGCCAAGACCCTGGCTTAGAGCAAAATTGTGCCTCAGGAACGTGTATTTTTAAGAGAGAGGAACTCGCAGATACAACGAACTGGAGAGCTGTTGTGATAAGGAGAAACAGCCAGAGCTGATTATCGTCTAATCTGCAATACTGTGCTAGCCACCTGAGTGAAATTATTTCTCTCTCACGGCAACGGGAAAGAGAAACAAGCTCTTCAGTGCTGGTAGAGCTGTGTCTACAACAAGGGTTGCATGAATTATTCATGTTGTACTCTCGTCCATGTTAGGAGCATATAGATTTAATTTTAATTAAAAAGGGAAAGATTAATAGCATCTGAGAGTTGCCATTTCACGGCTGTGTGGTCACACCCACAATATGGATGCTGCAGGGTTTAATGAGCACAGCATGTAGGTTAGGCAGCTGACATTTTCAGTTATTGAATCTCAGATCTCTAGATCCTTATCAGGTGAAACTATATAACCAGGAACAATTATATAAACACCATGCACGTCATTTTTAAACAAAAATTTATTATGTGGAGTGACAAACTCAAAAGCTTGCTGCTGATTAGCTTTGCTTTCAAAAGCAGATAACATTCATTGCGAATTAGTGTGAGGTTGTGGGAAATCAGGAGGTAATTTGGCCAGTCAAAAGGGAGGGCCAGGGAGAAGGAAGTGTGATGGACTGATCAAATGGTAACATCTATCACCAGACAGTTGCAATAAATTTAAAATCAAGTTTATGAGCAACAGCAGGTGATTCAGACAAAAATATTTATGCAAAACCTCGAGAGGATACAGATTTTTATGTTACAACAGGAAGAATTTTTTGTTGTTGTTGTTTTCATACTTTGAACAAATGTTACTCTAATTACATCCGAAAAAAATCTACTGGAAAAGGACACCAACGTTGCAAAGCCAAGCTGTCAGGATGTGACACAATTAAGATTTTTCATGTTGTGTTAATTTGGCCCACTTGTGAGTATGCCTTCTAATCAAGTCTTTAGTTGCACGATCACACGTTATGTTCATAACATGTCTCCTCTGCACTGAATGAATAGAACGTTTGGGAGAACCGTTAGACCTTGGTTACTTACAATAGACATAGACCGCTGGTTTCCTATAATAGAAGTTATTCAGTAATCCTCCAGATTTTGTTATTCCCTTCACTAATGAAAGGCTGAAAAGCTTGGATTTCCACAGTCAGTCTAGGAAACTTGCAAAAAGTGACATCCAGAAAAGTCTCCTTCTTGGATGTTAATCACTGGGAAAAAATATATATAATTATATATGAATAATATATTTAGCAAGCGCCTGAAGTAGACGGATCCTGTTTTGTCCTGTAAGCAACATATGATATTAGAACCAATACTTATCATACCACAAAATAGCTGCAAAAAAAAATTCAGATGTTAAAGACTTTGGGGCACTCATTTATGACAGCACGTTGTTGTACAGCATGTAAGTACTTCTGGCAGGTGGAGAGCATTGGTACTGAAGACTGCTTAGTATGCCCAGCATTGTTTTTCTCACTCATGTGAGTGAGCAGTCAAAGCTGATAAGCTTATTTCACAAGAAAGGTGAACAGGATCTGAGTCTCAGAATTTAATTCATGACCTCAGCTGTGTGTGATGATGACTCGGGAACCACATTTGGATCTTGAGGTAAACCAGCACAAACTGCACCTCCTACTCCCAGGGAACCTGCTTGTAGAGCTGTCATCCATCCGATTTCTAAAGCCCAGCCAGGAGCAATAGCAAGAAAGCTATCTGAGTTTGTGTTCAAATTTCTATGTCCACTTCCTATTTTTACAGTTCTGTAGCAATAGCAGTAGCAGTTCCCTTTAAGGTGAGAAGCACAGAACCTGATGTTTTATATTGCCTACAGTGCAAACAAAATTCTTTAATAGATGCTCTGGGTTCATTCTTAACATGCATACCAAAAATCTCTTTTTACAGATAACTCTATACATGAAAAGCTGTTGAACTTCCTAATGAAAATCAGTAGTTTATAAAAATGTGTTCAACTTATGGTACTAATTTGAGGCATTTGAATAACAGTCAGTTTTTTGTAGCAAGTCTATCTATGGAAAACAGTCATGGAGAAGTTAAATGACTTACGAGAAGATACATGGAATTATGTACATACCTGTACGTCGGTGACAGATGAAAACATTCCTTGCAAATTGGAGAGACCTTTCCCACAACAGATTGTTAACTTGCTGGGACTTCCTGGCATTTCTTGGATTACTCACATTGCAGTATGCCAGAGCCCTTGGGTATGATTATGGAGATGTTGATGCTCATCCATGGAGTAGATTTCCCCTGGTGCAGCTCAGAAAAGCATTCAGCTCCATATCCCTCCTAAATGCCACTGTCATTGCCTATCATATTGCCCAACTGATACTGGAAAACCTGGCTTGGAAAGTCACACTGTTAACTAACTGAAATACAAGCTCTGTGATAGAACGTTTGTATATATTTTCAAGCAAAGCTGATATTTTAATAATCTTACGCATAAGTGGAATGCAATGACATTTTTGTTGTTCACCTCCATGTACCTTTCTTGTCTCTTAGGCTATGTTGATATTGGGCTAATTCCAAAAGGTGCAAGGGGAATCAAAGTCATGGAAGTTGCAGAAGCAGGAAATTTCCTTGCTGTGCGGAGCAAAGACCCAGAAAAATATTACCTGAATGGAGGCTTTATCATCCAGTGGAATGGTGAATACAAAGTGGCAGGCACGATATTTCAGTATGACAGAACAGGGGATCTAGAAAATTTGACTGCTCCAGGACCCACCAATGAATCAATATGGATTCAGGTAAACAAGAGATTACTAGCAGAACCTGCTGGGTTTGGATGGCAGCAGAATGTGCTGGGGCTCTGAAGCTGAGGCTGGAATAATACATCTATTTGTAGATAAACCACCCTATTAGCATGCTGTCTTGCAAAAAAAATTGGTTGAGCTATTTTGGAGAGAAATAAACACCTTGCATGAGAGGGTTGTTCATCCTGCCTAAAAATAGATGTCCAGTGTCATAGTCTGATGACTATTAAAGGCTGGTATAATCCAGTGCTGCCACTAGGACAGGGATCCTGCCATTTCTAGTTGGTCAATCCTGTGCCCAGACTTCCCTGTCTCTTGTGTCAGCTTAGACCAAAACATGGCTGTGACATGAACCAGACCAGATGAAAAGTAACTACCACAAAAAGCAGGCTGATATCAGGCTGTAAACAAACCGTGAGAGCTGGGGAAGGCTGACAGCAGTGACAGCTTACACGGAGCAAAAAAAAATGCAGCATTAGATTAATAGTTTACAGTAACTGAAATGGATCAATTTAGCATCCAGTGAGGTTGCTCCCTTTTGTTTATTTTACATTGCTTTAGAGATTCTAACTTAAATCTAACCAGCTTCTGTTAATTATGTAAAAATAGTTTTAAATTGCCCCGTGTTCTCTGAATGTATGTTTCTGGGCTTGTTTGCCTGTGTATCCACCATGCAATTAAAAGAATTATTAGGGGTGTGATGGGAGCCACTTTCATACTTTAAATGTCTGGTGAGAAGTCAAATACAAAGGGTGTTCAGTGTCAGTAACAAGGTCAAGGAAACAATTAGGAGTAAGAGTAGAAGTTCATTGCTGAAGTCTTTTATCCCTTGATGATGTTTTTCTTTTCTCCCTCTCATCAGCCAAATGTTAAATTTCTTGAGCAGCTCTTCTCAATTGGAATTTTCCTTTTTAATCCAGAAACACTGAAAAATAATGTTAAAGCAGTGTCTGAATAAAGTCTGTAATTTTCTGACATGCTGGTTGTTTTGTAACAGCTATTTCAGAAGGGTAGGGAAATTATAATTTATAATGGTGATAGGCAGTAGCTCTTAATCAGCAGCACATTTGGCAGTGCTGTGGATGGACTTTGCATTGTCTTTTCTTAGAGTCAATAGGGTACCAATTATGCTGACCCACTTACTCCCACCTGTGCTTGCAAAAGTGCATGGCAAACAGCTGTGTCTTAGAAAGATGCAGGTAAGCCACTGTTAACACACAAATGGAAGTTTTGTCAGTCTGCTTTTCTGAACTGGTAGGAGTCTCCAAAATGGGCTGCTTTAAACCTTGCTGATTCTTCTGTTTTCATGCTTTTCAGGCCAGAGATTATTAAAATTACAAGTAATTAAACAAACCACATGCTTTTTCCAGCTACTTTTTCAAGAAACTAACCCTGGAATCAAGTATGAATACACTGTACGTAAAGAAGAAAGTCATGAGAATGAGATTGGAGAGCCAGAGTATTTTTGGCAATATGGAGACTGGACAGCCTGCAGTGTTACCTGTGGAAGAGGTAACTCCTCACTTCCTTTTTCCATTACTGTTTTTCTTCACTATTGGCAAATCTCATCTTTAAGTTAAGCAGACAGCATTCTCAAAGAGGTAAGGTGCTTTAATCTGCATTTGGTGGGAAATGAGATTCACATGGTTACAATAATGTATTTTGGCTTTAAAAGAAAATTCTATTAAATAATTTAAGGCAAATAGGTTTCTCTAACACCTGCCCTGAAATTCTTAACCTCTGTGAACCAAAATGAAAAACTCATTTTCTTTTCCTCGTAATTTGTTTTCAATATTGTTCACAGTAACCCTGCTTCCCACTAATATTATTTTATGACTAACTCTTGTTTCCCTACTGACTCTTTCCAATATGTTAACTACAAAAAATCTTCTTAATTTCTGTCTGCCTTGATAAGCAACAATGCTTTTTGTGCATCTCTCAATAGTTACTTAAATCAATCTTGAGAACTTATGGGTCTTCGCCACTTTCAGTACAATGGCTTGGGAACAGCTGCAGTTACATTGTAGTTCTGAACAGCACATTAAACCAGGCAAGCAGAATGACGACCATGAAGTAGGATCTAACAACAGGTCTAGAAGTTTACCTTTGGTAACACGCAGAAAATGCTAGAGCGAAAACTATGTTTAGAGTAGTTAGCAGATGAATTAGATGAAGTTAATGCTTGCAGGAAAACAACAATAATGATGAAAATACTGAAGAGTTTCTTTACAAAAGTAAAGGGTTTTATCCATCCTTTGCAGCAATAATTTTTAAAATATGAGAAAAATGTTGTGTGTGAAAGGAAGTCTGCACTTGGGGGGAAGAATTAGTTCCTGAGTTTCACTAGACAGAAGTAGTCCTGGAGATAGGATGGGAAGCTTGTTCTTTGACCATTTCTGTGAAAACTGTACAGAACAGTAGATCAGTGTTACAGCCACTGGACAAACAACATGAAATAAGCCTTTTCTCCTTGTAATGCTAGGGTATTTTAGGTGTTCTTTGATAATTATTGCTTGCTTTAACTACTTTGCAGAAGGAAAGAAAAAGACAAATGTTGCAACAAACCTATTTGGGAGTCTAGAAGAAGTGATGATTACAAGAGTAACAATTTTTTAATCTCTCCTGTTAGGGAAGATGCTAAAATAATGCATTTTCAGTGTTTTGAACAACAGGCATTGCATGGCCTTAATTTTAGAAGATTAAAAGAAGAATTTTAGAATAATATAAATTACCCCATCCCAATAACATTCCTATATTATTTTAAAAATATTCTTATATATATAATGGACATGTTATAGAGATGTTTGTACATGCATATATATTTATGTATGTGGAAATATTTGTGTGGTTTTTTTCTTGTTTTGTTTTTTTTTTTGAGAAGAAACACCACATGCTTTCTGATTAGCAAAAAAACCCCGAAACATTTTCTTTAAATAGTACCCAAAACAAGTGTTTTGCTGTATGTTTTAGTTCTTATACCTAGTTGTGAATAGTGTTTAATGTAACAATTGGCATGGTAACAAGAAGAGGGGAGGAAAAGTGTTATTAGACTGTTCATCGTGTTGTTTTGGTTTGTTTTTTTTACATCAGCTGCACTTTTCCCAGAACTGTTTCTCACTAAGTAAATTATGTATTAATTTATTATGTGTAGTACCTGCTGGCTAAAGAACTGTGTGACTTTGCTTTGATTTCTAACTGCCACATGGATTACTTTAGGACTGCAGGATATGGGTTTTTTTCCAGTTTTTATTTAATAATTGTTTTCCCCTGTTTACTGTCTTTGGGCTCTTAATAAATATTTTTTGAGCTCATTGGCTTTTTCTTTGCATAAGTAGAAATTATATGTTTTAGGCAAGATTGTGGACTTACTGCCATGAGTTTGCAGGGGAACCAAGAGGTGCATCACAGTTCAAAACGACCACAGAAACCTTCCCAGTTCTCTGCATTCCTTCATGGGTAGGAGGAAAGAAATGAATAGACCCTTTGCTCTCTTTACTCTGAGATGCATACATTCATAAAAGTAACTGAACAGGTCTAAAAGAGGATGTAATCTGCTAATGTATGATGCAGTCAGGGTATTGTAGCTTACTCCATGTCCAAAAAAAAAAAGGGAAACCCTGCCACAGAGCTTCAATGCATCATTTGAACCAGGGGAGCTCTAATATCACAGTCTGTCTGAAGTTTTCTGCAGATACTGGATGCACTGGTTGTGCTCTGGGCTGTCTGAAAGAGGCTTTGCTGTTGTCAGAGTAGCTTGGCACTGAATTTGAGCTCTCTGGCCCTCCTAAGCACCACACTGGTACAGTAATACAGCGGGTCTATGCCTGGATGATCAGAGCAGAAACACATCAGCAAAAATACCCAGAGCCTTGCTGCATAAAAAAAAAGGGCATCGCAGCAGGGAAGGTGTATTTGGAAAATGTTAGCTCTCCATCATTATGGAAATTTGGAAACTCTAAAGTCTTGCTACATTTAGCAGGGAACATGGGAAGGGTAGTGATTGTTGAACTAGAACCAGAAAGTCTCACATGTTTATACATTATTATGGTTTGATCCCCCTGAGTTCCGTTTAGGACTAGGAGGCAGAATAAGGGCAGAACTCAATGTTCCCAATGTTGCTGAATTAAGCAACACACTTCTTTGATTTCCACAGAACTTCCTTCTGGCTTTGAATGATGAGATTGATTTTATCTGAATGTGCATTCTGTTTAGATTCAGAATTTATTGCTGTTGGCAGTAACAGACCTGTTGTGCCCAATCTCAGGCATTTAAAGAGTTTTGAAAGGTTTGTAAGATAAAGTGCATTGAAGTGGGCAAGATCGTCTTCCGCTATCGGTGTGCTGCATGATAAGTCTTATGGAAGACAGGCTTACAGTGGGGGTCAAGGAGATAAGAACAGTTGCATTTATTTAGACTAAAGGTCTAAAATGACGCTCAAGGAATCTTGCAGTTATCATTTGGTAAACAATAATCCAGTATTTTTTCAGGACAAAAGGGTGGACCAAGAAAGGTGAACTATTGATCTAACTTTGATGGCCACAGCCAGTGGTAGAAATTGATCCTTACCTAGAATTTTGTTGTCTTGGCAAACCTGCACCTGCCTAAAGGTTCAGCACGGGGCTTCTCATCACGACTGGTCTATATGGTAGCAGTAAATCCAAGGGCACTTTGGCCTTTTATAGCCACAGAGATCAGGACAATGCAAACAAATGCTTTCTGGAGCTGAGTTTGGGAGTGACAGACGGGGCTGCGGGCACGGGAATGAGCTGATGCAGGAAAGCCTCATCTGTCCTTAGAGAAAAAAATACTGTTTTAGCCTTATGACACAGCTCCTTATCCAAGGGAAATGTGCCTGGAAAAAATCCCAATGATGAATAATGTTTTTGTAGAGTGAAGCTGTCCCTTCTCAGAATTAACCTAGGGCAGCTCCCTAAAGATACCTTCTGAAAGATTTATGGCCTCAAGGTAGCACCATGCTGTGCCCTGACCCATATCCTTCCCCAACTCCATTACAACTTAGAAAGAGAAGATGCAAATGTGCTCATGTTTTATGTCATTTCTTTCATGTGCCTCTGTCTTTTGTAGTCTCAAAGAGTGGGTCTGGCCAGTCTACAATAACACCATTTAACAGGGAAAAAATATTGTCTGAAAAATCATAGAATTGTTTAGGTTGGAAAAGACCTTTAAGATCATCAAGTCCAACTGTTAACCTAACACTGCCAAGTCCACCACTAAACCATGTCCCTAAGCATCACATCTGCCTGTCTTTTAAATACCTCCAGAGTATCTTCTGTAACAAATGTACCTAATACTGCATGCAGGGAAAAGGAGGACATATTGCAATACCTGATATCCATTTGCAATGTAGAAAATAGTTCATTAATTACATTGCAATCCATTTCATGGCAAACAAATGCTGAAGGGGATATTTTATACTAAAAATCATAAGCCTTGTGCTGTCCTCACTGCAGGGCAGTTTGACTCTCTGCCTGCCATTTACTTTATGCAGAAAGGAATTGCTTTGCAGTCAGGATCTGTGCAAACTGGACAGGGTCCTGCAGACTGCTGCACCCTCTGGCCAAGAGCCTGTCTCTCCAGAGCCTACTGTCAATACAGCATGTAAAGCTGTTAAGCTTTTTTATCGAAGAGAAATGCCTTGCTGAGTTTTTTTCCAGACCAACTACCCATTATTCTTTCTTTAAATAATGGTCAATTAGGAATTACAAGTATAAATCCTTCATCCTTGTCTAAAGGCTTTAATCATGTTCCGTAGAACTAGCTTTGAGTGGCATTGAACAGAACAAGAAGCCAAGCGGAGCACAGCTGCAACTAAAGGATATTAGGCAACTTCAACAGTTTACTTCTCTATAGATAACATCAGTAATTGGCAAATTTTCAAAGCTTTGCAAAAGGACTTAACTGTAAGATTTGTTTGGGGGTTAATTGTTATGTGCCCTCTAAATCGTTCACAACTGTTTTCTGGGCTACTTTGCAAAATTACCTCCAGGTGTTCCTGAACAGAAATGTAGCACTGAACTTGTAGCACTGATTTTAGAAAACAAAGGTCACTGTATTTTCCTTCGCTATTATGGGTCTAGGTTTTATAACACCAAGAGTGTAATGGTTGTGTACATAACTTGTGTGTGCACTGAATATAATTTATTGAATGAATAATACCGAAGTGAACTCCTTGCAGAGTATCTGATTTGATGCACAACTGTAACAATTATGTGTTCAAACTAGATTCACAGTCAAATATACTCTTTTGAATACACATTTTATATATTTGCTTCTGGTCCGTTATTTCTATTGTTCTTGGATTTAATTTTGCTCAAACTGAGGGCCATTCAGCAAACAGTTTTCAAAAACCTTCCAAACCCAAATGATTTTAAACTGGCACCTTTTTTGCAAACGAAGTGAGAAATCAGGAGCTGAGTGGGTCAGCCTCCCATCCAGAAATTCCTGCATTAGGCATGAAGTGGCACAAAGAGGTAGAAGCAATCTCTAAGCAGATTTAGTGAAATCAAGACTGTTCTTTGATCTGTTTTCGTTCTTGGTTTCTCTTTTTTCCCAGAAATATTTGTAGGCTTTTATTCACAGAGCTGAGATGGTATACTTCTGTGTAAAGAAATATGGATGTGGGAAGGGCTGCTTTGTATTTTATTTGCAAGTGAGACTTACAGCAAGGGAGATGGTGAAGTGATGGTAGTCGTACCTGCAGTGCAATGAGTGCTGAGGTGAGCAGAAAGGAGTCGGATGTTCCTGCTCCAGAGGAAAAAGCAAGATCTTTGCAGTGGGATGATGATCACAGAGATGATGTCCTAATAAGTACAGCCAGCATCTTTGTGGATGTGAAACAGTTGTCGGCATGGGCTAGTTAACACTTAGCGCAGAGAGAAGTGAAAAAGGTGAAGGGAGGAAAACGGCTACCCTCTCAGAACACTATAGAAATAGTGTTTACATTTCCAATTTTACTGAGTTTTTAAGTATATTTAGAATTTTTAATCTGTGATTTAAATAGGATATTACACATTTAAGTTATGTAACTGTAAATGTTTGGTAGGGCAGGGTCAGTGTGAGGTGACTCGTTTTCTACTTTTGCAATGTTTTCTAGTTCAACTCGCTCAAGCTGAAAAAAAACAACTGTGTTTCATTATGTCATTATATGTATGCCTACATATATATGTGTGTGTATCAATATATGCATACAGGATTACATCCAACTTTGGAACTGAACTATGCACAGTCATGATGAAAACACTGTGCATTTATGGCTTCTTTAAATATATACATCCATCCCAGAACCTTCCAGATTTTGAAACTACAGTGGGAGTTCACATAACTTCCATATTAAAAACTGTTTATGTGAATAAATTATTTTATTGATGCCAGCGATCAGCGAATGTTTTCTGAGAATGTACAGCCTCAAAACAAAACTTTTGCAAAGGTTTATAGTGGTTTTAAAGTGAGTTACAGCAGCTGAAATTGCACTGAAAATTTATCAAAGCAAAAGAGTTCTCTTATTTGCATTTGTAACAGCAACATATCATGATTTTGAAAGGGGCGGAAACATATTTCTGTGAACTGCTTTCTTTACAACTAGCAAGAAGGTTGCTAATTATTCCAGTTACATTTTTCATAGCATAAAACTGAGCACTGCTCCCTGGGGGTCCTTCACTGAACCAAAAAGCTTTCTGCTGCTCGAAGTCCCCTAGGCACAAGAGAGCGCCACATCCAGCCGTGCCGCAGAGTCACGCAGCTCATTCCACGTTATGTACCCTGGAGCTTGAATGCCTCAGCGAAGAGTATTAATGGGAGCACAGGGCTGCAGTCCCTTAATCCTCCCTTCTAGGTGCAAATAATTCTTGTTCTAGCAAGTCAACCTTCAGATATGACTGGAGGAGATGCGGTCATCAAATCCTGTGCTGTTGTCAGTAATTGTCTTATATGTCTCAGTCACAAGTCTGAAAGTACTCTAAAAGCTAAAGCATTTCCTCACCGTGTCACAGACCTGATGTCTTAAGGAGATACAGGTTTCCATCTGCTTCTATGGAATGACTCAAATATGCATAGAAGGTTTTTAATTTCCTTGTGTTGTGGAGGCCTTTTTCAGTAATATTGGACTACAACCTCCCCTCCACACATGCAATTCGTGCTCAGTTCTCCCACAAAAAGTTACCTCCGCTGCTAGCTTTGGATTTCCTCGTGTTAGAGTTGGTATCCTGGTTTTTCTGTATTTATTTTTATAAGTATATTGTTAAATTTTGGAGAGGAAAAAAAAATTGCATGCTGTGAAATTACTTCAAGCAAGATAACCATAATGCTAACATGAAATTTTAGGAAGTATGTTTTAATTCCCATATAAGGGGACATTGCTGTATAGAATAATGTAAGTATATGTTGTATAGAGGAATAATTTCATATTTGCCAAGTAGTATTATCTATGGATTACTGTTCCTATCTTCCAGACAGTTTCCCTCACTACTTGGCAGGAGGTGTGAGGCAAGGGAAAGCTTGATTCCTAAACATTCTGCTAAACAGCCTGACACTTATCCCTGACGCCATAGTAACAGTGCTGTTAGGCCCTTTGCTTCCCAGGAGAAGCATGAAAATCCCAGAGATACAGTGACCTACCCTTTGCATATTAGTTACTGTGAATTAATAGCACAGTTAATTTAAGAAGAGCTAATAAACAAAGTTTCTTCAGTCTTGGGATTTGTTTGTGCCTAATGCAACTATTTTAATGCCTCAGTCTAGCTACCACCTTTCAAACTGTAATATTGCAATACTTTTTTTACACTGGGTTTGCACAGGACCTACCTCAAATTATTGCTAAACTGTGTGGAAGGCAGGCCCCTGGAAACGGGCTTTCTTTAGATTCACAGCAGGGGAATGCAGTATTTTGGTTCATGTTTCTTTCTGTTAAATGCATAGAAGTTTTTGTAATTGGAACTGTTGTGAAAGAACCCAGATTATATCTATGGGGTGTCTCTGCATCTCTCATCATTACTGTGCTTTGCTTCTTGTGATGAGTGCTGTGTATTAGTTATTTAGAAGATAGAAGATTTTCTGTCTTGTATTATGGCATCATGATTTTCAGTCAAGATTTGTACCAAAACTTCTGAGAAATGGAATTTAACATTAAGAGTCACAGGGTTGTAGTTTTGCTGATACAATCCAGTTTGTATTCTGCTTAAACAGCCTTCGCAGTAGTACAAAAAAAGATTAGCAAAATACCCGTGTGAATAGCCTGATGCTGCTGTGTTGCTTCTTGTCTGTGAGTAATCCAAGAACCATTCATAGCCCTTTAAACCTGCTGCTGCAGGATCTCTTTCTGAGGCTGACAACTAAATCGACATTAAAGAAAGTGCTTTCTAGTGTGTGCTCGAACTATCTGATCCAAAAGAGCTCTGCTTAACACCTTTTCAGCTTGATTAAAGCATGCTTATACCTGATTTAGCCCAGACATTCAGCAAAACTGACTTTCACAGCTCTTGCTGTATTCTGGGATGTGGAGCATGACCAGTGTATAGTCCCCATGCTAGAGGACTTCTTACAGCTCATGCCCAGCCTACATGGATTATTGCTAATTTTTTGTGTGTCTTTCTCTCTCAGGGGTGCGGCGCCAGATTGCCCACTGCATGCGGAAGGGGGGCGGAGCAATCAAAAACTCCTTCTGCGACCCCGCAACACAGCCAAACGGGCGACAAAAGAAGTGCTACGAAAAGGACTGTCCACCCAGGTAACGGGTACTGGGAGAGCACTGGTAATGCTAAATAGCAGCCATATTCAAAAGAAAATGTTGGGTCTAATACCAGATTAGTGTGGCATCCGTGGCCTGTCATGGTGAGAGCTCCCAGGGATTTCAGAGCAAGGTGGCAGAAACCCAGTAAGGGAGAGATTAGGAGTAAGCTGCCCTAAGAAGTTTCTAGTGCAAGTTACCGAGCAGTCTGTGCTGGGAATGGCACAGATCGCTCTCTCATCTGTATAGATACTCTTTTTGTTCAGTTTACGTGCAGGTGTGCCTGAAAACTGCATAAATTCTTATTTATTTTAAAAGTCCTATTCCTGCCTTAGCTTGAGTGATAATGTGTTACTGTGTGTTCCAAAAACTAACTCGCAGAGAGGTCTTTTTAAGCCTTCTGATGCTGTTTTTCAGTATTTTTTGATACTCCTTTATCCTTTTTTTGAGGAATGATGAGTGGAAACTAATTATTATACCTTCCTTGTAACACTTACTTGGCATCTTTTTATCATGTCCCTTCTTATTTTTTCCTTTCAGTGAAATGCAGCTTTCTTCATTCTGTAATCACATGAGAATAATTTTTTCCGTTCCCACAGCATTATTTTAATTCTTCATCTCTGTTTTTTCTGTTCTACCATTTTAGCGAGACGGGTAAGGAAGACTAACCACAGCAAACATTCCAGGTGACAGCAGAACTGTAGGCTTGTAAAATAGGCACAGATTTGCTAGAAGTGATCAATATTGGGTTTAGTTTCATGCTTTAGGTACTGGAACATCTCGCTTTTGTCTTTCATTGTCTTTGGAAATGGTTTATTATGCTGTTTGCAATGGTATACCAGTCTTGTCCTAGTAATTCTAGTTAAATCAAAATCAAATCAAAGTCATTACAATGATTCCCTTAAAGTGTATCGTGTTACATTTGCCAGTGGTGATATTTCATGAAGCTTTAATGTAAAAAATGCTGCACGGCTGTTGGTTTTATTAGTTGTTTCCAAGTATCTTCACAACAGTATATGATGCCTCCCCTGGGAATTACATCTTTGCACTTGCAACCTCTATAAATGACTGTTAAAAGCATAAAATACCAGCATTTCATAATTCTTTGTAGATTGCTAGGAAATCAATTGACAGATCAAACTTATTAACTCATTGACTAGTTAAGAGCTGAGTCTACCCACATATATGGCGGTGTTTTTTATTTACAGCACATATAAACTGTGCTATTTATTCCAAAGTTCGACATGAGCTCAATTTATCCCATTTGGTCTGAATAATGCAGTCACTTAGCAGAATTTGTCCCTTGTTGGGCAGATTGAAGAATTATGTGACGTGTACCAAGCTCTTCTGCAGGCCAGGCAGAAAAGGTCTCATATGCTGCCAGCCTGAGTGATGCTTCTCAGGCTTATTCTGTGCTGCAGAGGAAGGCATTAGTTATCCTTCTGAGGCTAGTAAAATACTGAGAAAATGCAATGTAGGAACGGAAACCCATACGTATATAGTTCTAGAGTCACATTTTGTATTTATTTTTTTTCTTAATAACAGAAGAGTGACTGTAGTAGTTTAACCAAGGGTCTGTGTAAGTGCCTGTTCTGGCTCCCAGCAGGGCCCACCTGCCGGAGGAAAAGTAAAGACAAGGCAAGCATATATTGTATCTCTTTCTAATAAACTTCCAGCTTCCAACTGTTTATAATTCAAGGCACTTCCAGAGGCTTTTATGGCTTGTCTAATCAGTAACCTCCAATGGACCTTTCTTCCAAGTACTTGTCCAGCCTCGCTCTGCAACCTTGTGAAAGTTCTATCATATACAACTTCCTCTGCAACAAGTTTCACAGCTTTAGTACCTACTGTGTGAAGCATCACCTCATTTTCACAGAATCACAGAATTTTCAGAGTTGGAAGGGACCTCTAGAGATCATCTAGTCCAACTCCCCTGCTAAAGCAGGATTGCCCAGAGCACATTACTCAGGACTGCATCCAGGCGGGTCTTGAAGGTCTCCAGAGAAGCGGACTCCACACCCTCCCTGGGCAGCCTGTGCCACTGCTCTGTCACCCGAACTGTAAAGAAGTTTTTCCGTGTATTGGAACCGAACTTCCTGTGTTCCAACTTGTGCCCTTTGCCCCTCATCCTGTCACTGGGAACCACCGAGAAGAGTCTGGCTCCATCTTCCTTCAACCCACCCTTTAGATATTTGTAAGTAATAATAAGGTCTCCCCTCAGCCTTCTCTTCTCCAGGCTAAAGAGTCCCAGCTCTCTCAGCCTTTCCTCATAAGCGAGATGCTCCAATCCCTCAATCATCTTGGTTGCCCTTCGTTGGACTCGCTTCAGCAGTTCCCTGTCCCTCCTGAACTGGGGAGCCCAAAACTGGACACAGTATTCCAGTTGTGGCCTCACCAGTGCCAAGTAGAGGGGGAGAATGACCCCCTCGACTTACTGGCCACACGCTTCCCTATGCAGCCCAGGATTCCATTGGCCTTTTTGGCAACAAGGGCACATTGCTGGCTCATTTTAATTATTTTGAATGTGGCTCTCCCTGGCTTTTGCTGGTGGCCCTGAGTTCTTCTGTTGGAAACGATGGCAGTGAAGAATGAATTCCTATCACCCTTCCCAAGCCCTTCATTTTGTAGATCTGGTCTCTGTTCCAGGCTGTAGTCCCAGCATGGGATTTAGTTGTTATTTACTTTCCAGGGCATGTGTCACCTCTAATCCAGACAGATAGTTACACATCTGCATTTGAAATGCAGGACAGTACTTAGGGCATTTTGGTTGGTTGTTGGTTCTAAAGAAAATCTGAATGTTGGAGGAAGGTGTGGCTGTCCCATACAGCATGATGGAGCATAACTGAGAGTACATGTGAAGCTGCTGAAGAACAAATGTTCTGTAGAGAGGTGGCTAAATTCTGTGCTAGAGTTGAGGACAGTGTTGTTAAACACAACACTGCAGAGCACCATTGGTTAGTGTGGTAGCCACAGGACTGAAACTGTTCGGTGATCTTGTGTTTCCCAACAGCAAACCAGTTTCTTTGTGGGAACATCCTATCTAAAACAAGAAGGCTATTATCTTGCATAACCCACCCCCTACCCCCCTTATGATCTGCTAAATCCCCCTGATGGAAAACATGTTACCATGAAACTAGCTACTAGACCACTAAATCAGAATTAGATAATTTATCAAACAGTAGCTACAGGCAAATAGTAACATTACTGTAATATTTGTGACTCTCACAAACCGATCTTATCTCATTAATCATTTCAGGAAGTTAATAATAAACTGTTTAAATTACAGGATTCTGAAAAATCCAAGTCGTAATGTCCTTGTTTGTTAGCTGATTTGGTCTGCATTTATTTTTCCCACGTTTTCTGCTAAAACAATCTGAAGCAAAACAAAATATGTAAAATGTTGCAATACATGTATGCTACATGTTGACTCTAGTGTCGCAGATGGAGTGATGCACTTCACTTGTAGAGAGAAGCTGTGATACATTTATTGATATAAAAAGGATTTTACAAGGCTTGATAGTAAATGTGACAGTGTTTTAACAAGATTCAATGGCAAGGCAGACTTGGCTATTTACTGCATCGAGGACAGGGTCAGACAGAACTGTCAAGGAGACCCTCCCACTGAGTCGAGGTTCAGAAAGGACCCCCTTGCTTTCTAAACTCCTTCTCAGAGAGGAGTCTCGGTGCAGCTGGATCCAGTCCTAGTCCCAAGCGTGGTCAGCAGTTTATGTCTAAAGGGTCACATATGCACAATTGATCCTTTATATTACTTAGCTAAGATGTCAAAGTTTAGCATGCTATTAGTCACTTACCGAGGATCTCTTGCAGCACGGAATCTCTTAATCCTGAGAAGTAACCTTGAGGGGCATCCCTTCTCAAGGGGAGATCCTGGCGAGCAGCCCACTGCCTTGCAGGAGAGCTCAAATGGCTCCTGGGCTGTTCATGAGATGATTGACTTATAGTCATATTTGCGTATCGACCACAGTACCAGTATTGTGGTGAGGTGGGTGCATTGCTCAAGTTAGCCCTTGGCTATTATGGTGTTATCTGTCTCCACAAAACCATGTTGAGCCAGATGCAGCCATCGTGACTAGATGCACCCATTATGACCATCACGGGTAGTTATCGCTTGGGCAGGCTAATGGGAGATAAAGGTCAGGTTGGTGGTGGAGCACACCGTCAGACTCAGAACAAAATAAAGACGGCTCAACAGTTGAGAGTTAAAATGTCATACAGCTGCTTAAGTAAAAGTTGGGTGATATTGCTTAGCAGGAGTGCAACAAGACTGTAGCATAAATGCATGCTTTTTTTCCACGTTATGCTATGGAATATGGTTTCCAATTATATGGGTTTTTTGATAGACAGGTATTTAGCTCCATAAGTGTTAATGTCGAAAATCAATAGGTACTACTTGAAGAAAAAGAGTGAGTTTTTAACTACTTACAGTGTTGTGAATAAAAGTTTTGCTCTCCTCTGTAAATCAAATTGCCTGGAGCCTTTTTAACCTGACTACCCACTTGAACAGAGTAACCATAAATAGATTGTTTTATAAGTACGTCGCATCTCCTGCTTTTTATTTGCTGTTACTGTATTGTCCTGCTTCCAGACTGCTTAGTAGACTCCAAGAGCATAACAAGAGTGGGAAACCTTGTATCTATTTTAAACACAGAGTGAGAGTTAGTGCCCTGTTGGTATCTTCTGTGCCTGTTGCTATACACATACATAGAGAAAAAAAACGGTCTTTCTTTAGGTGTGACACAGTATGGTGGGGAGGGAGGGAAAGTTCAGCCCCATAGGCATGAATATAGCAAACTTTGGTTCCAAAATCCTGTACCACTACTTTTTCAACAGGATCCACACCTCAATCAGTACACATCATCTAGGTACAGGTGAGGACTGTATAGAGGACAAGGCTTTTGGGCTCTGCCTCTTACAGACTATGGAAACTCAACATGGGAGGAAAAGAATAGATCTCATGTAAGGCAGCTGAATGCCACCTG